TTCTGCAGTGTCTCTTCTGTAACAAATTCTTTATCATAGAAGGCAAGTTTAAAGTTAGATGAAACTAACACTTAGAGGAAGTGGTTTTCAAAAAGAGCTCACATGTACTTACTGATTAATATCTAAATATAATATTCAATTTTCTTTTTCTATTTATAGCAAAAGGAGACAAACTATATATTTACTGTGAATTCTCAGATGTTAGCTGTTTTTCCATCTTCAGTTTTGGGAACTACTGTATTGTGCAGGTAGTTTAACACCTACATGTTTTGAAAGTAAAACATAGCTTTCTTTTAAATGGAGGAACAATTCCTACTGGAATTACTGGTTAATCAGATAGGTTGAAAATCCTTTTTCCCTAAATAATACACTATGGAAACAAATGTAAAAGCAACAGGGTAGAGCTGTTTAGCTGCTGAATGGGGCAGCATTCTTAAGCAGGAAAAAGGAAAAACGTTTATTTACAGTGTAACAGTAAAGGGAGAAAACATGTTCAGCAAGAATTCTTTACCCCTTTTTTTCTCTAAATATGAAGACCTAGTGATACATTGTCAAGCAGAAGTTTCCCTTTATAAGCAATGAACAATGCATCTCATTTCCTTTGTAGAGAACAGGAATTTAGGTCTCCACCTAAACATTCAAGGTCAGTATAATAATAAGTAATAATATTTTCCCTGCTAATATTTCACTCTTATTTTCTTTCTCAGTGCATCCAGTTCTAAATCAAATTTTTATTGGTTTTCTGCTCCTTCAAATCTACGAAAAAAAAAAATCATACTTAATTAGATATCATAAACGGTAAAAAAAGAAGAATTTAATTTAAGTGCTAAAAAGTTTTGTTTTAATTTTGTATATCTTTAAATTCTCCAGGAGATGGTTAAGTAAGATTTACTATTAAAACAGGAGATTGAAACCTCTCCACAGTGTATTTTCACTGATTTAAGAGCCATCTTTCATTTATTGCGCTCTTAGCACTTGGACATTGTGAAAAAATATTGTCATTAATGAGGAGATGTACTGTGGAATATTTCACTGTTATAAATGCCTATGTTTTGTATGTCATCTCATTCCATTTCTGTGCACAAGGCAATTATACAATAGTTAATTAAGCTAATTAAAAGCATTCACAGTATGCTAATTTCTGTTTCATACATATTCAGTAGGCCGATATACTGCAGTCCTCAAAATCATGTTATATGTGTGCCCATATTTATACAGCCTGCAGTGTCTGTATGCATATATGTGTGCATTACATCTATGCACATATTACAAAACTATATGTACTTGTTTTTTAATTTATAAGCCTCTGGTTGAGTTAACCCAGTTGTAAGGCAGAGAAGCATCAGGGCCTCTTCGGAATGTGGATTGGTGAGACAAGGTGCCCATCTCTTTCTCCTGCATTGGGCAGACTAACGTTGGTAATGAACCTACCACCACATCCTAGGGGGACATGAGGAAACTGGAGTTCCTGAGAAAACAGGCTTTACAGAGAGAGGCAGGCACCCCACCTTATAAACCAAAGCCAGGACTGTACAGCTGTTTCAATTAACACCCGATTTACACACTAAAAAAGGCAATTTGACCCCAAGAAATGGCACCTATCTTATCTTATTAAACAATGGGGTTTTATTTGATGGGTCGAAGGGTTTCTTTTCATTCGTAGATTCCTACATCTTCTCTGTTTATCAGTGCTAACTGTTCAAAATGTATTGAATAATGATTCTTCCTAGTTTCCTAGTGAGTGGTCCTGAAAATTCTACATGGATTCCCTCAGGATGTGTTGGAAATTCCTGTTGTCTGCTTTGTATATTACAGTATATATACAGGATTTAACTGAAACAAAATTGCATTTTCTCGTTTTTCAAAATCTCGGTTGAGGATTAAGTAATGAGTCTAAGATCCATGTCAGCACTTTTGCTTCTCGTGCCCAGCGAAGCTGCTGAATCCCAAGGAACAAACCCCTAGAAAAACAGAAGATTATTACAGCCTGCAGTCTTGCACTAGAAGAGATTTGAACTTCATACTGTGATAAAAGACAATATCAGAAGCTTCTTACAGAAGTTAATGGGATGCTTCTGAGGTGAATCACAGTAAACAGAGCTTATACCTGAACTTTTAGAGGTGGAGTAAAGTGAATGATTTTTTTTTACCTTGAATTACAGTACTCTGAACTCAAACACCAAGTGAGTGTTTATTGATTATACATAGTGTCAAAAGAAAACAACCCCCACCACCTTGAAATTCACTGTCTATCTTGTTTTGAACTTAAAAGGGTTTCTCTACAAGAGAACTGCAGAAACCTGTTCTGCTATCCTCATTTTTTAATGCAATTTCCTTTTTCGATAATCTTTTAATAAAAACGGTAAAGAAATTAATGTTCATTGAGTGTTTAATTTGTGTATACTGTATATGTTTCTAGTATTACTTATTTCCTTCATTTCATTCCTAACTTTGGAAATTATTTTTTTAACAGAAAACTACATTTTATATTGACTGCTGTAAAAATTAGGGTGATCCGAATACAGTTCTGTATCCAAATCCAAATAAGGAGGACAAGAATGAAGAGATAAGGAAAAGTAGAAGAAGCTGAAGAAGCAATTGATGGAACAACTAGGAGCGACTGATGCCAATCTGACTGAAGTACAAGCCCTGTTGCAACATTTGTTCTCTCAGCAATAACTCACAATAATTACGTCACAGATTCCACTTGTTGCTACAGTGGATTTAGTTGACAAAGTTTTGTTGCAGGTGGTTTAGAGGAAGTCCTTTCTTTATTAAATATTTATTTCTTTAGTACAGGAACTCCCCACACTCCATTATTAATTCTCAGAGTGTTTTTTGACAGGACCTATCAGAAGGTCAGCATTTTCTCCAGGCCAATTGCTTGCCTGTGCTTTTTAGCCGTTCCTCGAGTGTTTCTTGTATTTCTTGTTTTTGTCTTTCTCAAGCCAGTTTTGTAGACGGCACTGTCAGTTTCACAAAGTCATTTCCCAATTTTGTTGAAACTACGAAGGTAGTGTAAAGGGCTTGTATTCTTTAAATGAATCCTGTGATGGAATGTTTTAAGGAGGAAAGGTTTGTGTATGCAACATCCTAGAGGACAAAGGAAGTTAATATCTAACTTAATATACAGGAGTCAATAAAGGTTTCCTTCATGGTTCTCTTTCAGCTTCACTGAATAGTCTTAATTAGCCCCCTTTGGTTATTGTAGTGCCTGTGCTCATAAATGATTTGGATTGAAAGTCAGGAAGACACAGTTAAAAAAAGTGAATTAAACAAGATTAAACCAGATACTGCAGTAAATGGCATTTAACGAAGTTGGAAGAAAATCTGGTAGCCTGCTTCACCAAAAGCTGAAAGACGTCATGCTAAAAGATGCTGAAGTCATAATATTTACAGTTACGGAAAAAAAAGACAGAACGTTAAGATTCCTTAACGTGTTATTAATACCCTAACACAGCATTGATAAAAGCGACATTTTGACTCTGACATAAACTTGTTTCACTTCATAATAGTATCTCGGCTTTCAGGTTTCACTACCAGAAAAAAAGTAGGCCTGTTCATAAAGATATACTCATTTCTGAGCTCTTCGGCTACAGTGGAAGCCTTGACTGTCAGAAACAGGATTCTTCACTCCTTGTTTTATGGAAATTCCAACCTGCTCCTTTAGGGAAGTGGAAGTGGAAGATATGTCAACAAAACATTTTAATTGATAATTAGTAGGGTGTTTTAAGAAAGGTGAGTAGCTACCCCAAAAAACATATCCTAAGACCTTAAAACACCATGATGCAGTAGGTGTTGGAGAAATAACAAAGAGTCCTTTGTTACCGTACGACTTGTTCGCAAATCGGCTGCATACTTTTTTTCATTTACTGTTGTCTTCCATTTGGTTGCTTTCATTTTAAAGAGCTCATTTGTGTGCTGGGCAAGTTGAAACTAAGTCACGGTTTCAGCCTCTAACCAGCTTAGTGCATCTTTAACACTTTGCTAAAGTGCCAGTTAAGCAGGAATGTGAAGAGATGGCAAGTGGAGATGAAAACAGTTATTAGTTTGTGCTCAGACACACACTGCTTTTCCTCCTGGTGCAGTCTATAAAGGCTTAATCTGTGTGTGGTGTCCTTATTGGCCAGTGGGCTCTGCACTGCAGCAGGGCTTTCCTCATTAACAGTCCTGGCTCTTCTTGCAACCAGAGCCTGAATGTTTGTGTTAATGTCAGTATCTCTTTGCATTGTCCTAAATACTCAAGCCTATATCTAACATGTAACACACAAACGAGAAACTGTGGCATGCACGTGTTAGTGAAGCTGAGAACAAACACATTACTGTTACTTTGTTTCTCCCGTTGGCAAATGCTTCCTTTTGAAAAGAATGGCACGTGTTGGTGTTGCACAGGGTAAGGAGATGGCAGTCTATCAAAAATTGACAGGGTCCCCAGAATGACAGGATCAAAAGAGGGTTTCTATTTCCCATTACGTGTTAAGTATCTGGCCTTTTAAATCTGACCATACAATTATTATTTAAAAAAACACGGAACATCCTAAATTAATGAAATAAATATGATAGTATCTTAGTGGGAAAAGCAATAATGAAGAGCTTTGTGAAAGCCAATTTCCTTTTCAGTTCTTGCCAACAAAATTAGTTCTAATGCTGAATGTCTTTCCCTTTGCCAGTTCAAGGACAGTGGAGTACTGTTTGCTGTGACTCTCCCCCTGATAGGATGGCTAGATTGCAGAGCTGAGCATGATTCTATCTGACTGCTTTATTATTGGTGCAGTGTTTATTATCAGTTATTAGTGTGTGGTTCCTATTGCGTTGTTTGTGGATTTTGTTTGTGCTCTACAAATTCCAGTTCTTATGAATGCCGTCTATCCATTTTCAGTACTCTTGTCCGGTGAAGGTCTAAGCGTCTCCTCAGCCTGTTCCTCAGAAACAAAAAGATGTATCTGTGAGTTTGAAACCTTCTTTTGCACATCTCCTGTTTCTGTCTCTCTTCCAATCAGGGAAATCCGTGGTGGATGGTAAAACACTGGGCACTGAAGAATTAAAGGTCATTAACCGAAATGAACAGACTGGGCTGGAGCACAATGTTGACAGGTAAGGCACAGAACCAATCAGCCATATTATTCTCCTTTTAACCATATTAGGAAAGCTTGGTGTCTCCGATTTATTTTTAAGTCTTTGTTTTGTGTCATTCATAACTGAGTAACACTGGATATTTCTACTGGATATGAAAATTCTCTTTTTTTTCCATGCAAACACTCTGAAAAGAGATCCCTTATCTCTGTACCAAGGTTTACAGATAAAAATACACTGCCACTATTTTGGATATTGCAAAACCTGTGATATTTCTTTTTCTTAAGCAGGGGGGAAAAAACGGCAAGTATCAGTAAAATCTGCTCCTGCTTGAAGTCAGGATGCTAAGTGTTGCTGTTATCTTTAAACACTTGGCTTTGTGCAGAGTGTCCTGTGAATGTGTGTGATCACACTTTCTTGCTTTTCTTGTTTTGCAGGCCTGCTAAAGTGAAAGGAGAGGCAAGACACGATATGGTGCGCTCTTCCAGTCACACGCTGTCCAACAAGGCACAGATGCTGGCCATGCCACGGTTCGGACTGCGCGACAACCTCATTAAATGCGAGCTCCTGAAAAATGAGGAGCAGTACACCTACATCAAAAACTTCAGGTGAGTTTTTTTGTGTCAGCACTACAGCAGCCTCCCAGCAGGGAATGTTCAGCTCAGCTGGAAGGTTCTTTATGTAGTCAGCTATAATACAACCGGAGCTGTTACACTTGGCCAGAAACTTTTTTCATTAATGGAACTCATGCTTATCGTACTGGGTGCAGCTGACAAGGTATGTGGAAAAAAAACTGAGCCTTAAATATCTGTAAGTCTGAAGCAGGGCTATTTATACAAGCAATGAATTTAAGATGCTCTTTCAAACTAAATGGCCGATTCACCACTCTTTAATAAGTGAATGCATAGTGATCTTCTGTTAAAGGGACTTGACGATAATTTCCGTAATTAAAAATTAATTTAATCAAAATAGTAAACAAGTTCTTTGTTACATTATCTTTTCTTACTGCTAGAATATGTTGAGTGTGGTTCTTTGAATTTGAAACGCCTACTGGTTGGAAAAAGGGCAAAAGGGGTCAAGTAGCTTTGGGAAACGTTCACTGCTGCACAGTTCAGGGCCAACCCTAGGCAACATTGTCCCCTGCGAGAACTTGTATCCGCCCCAACCCTCTGGACGGTGCCCTCTTTTTGAAGATATGAAATACAGGAACCCTTCCTCGCCTGATTTAGGCAGAAGCATTTAAAATGAGGTCTCATCTCCGAATCGGAGCGTCTGGACAAATATGTGAATATGACAGAGGATTCGACATTGAATGAAGGTGACCCCAGCATTGCCCTGATGGGAGAGTCAGAATTCCTCTTGCCACTCTTGTCTACTGCTTATCTGCTCGTGTTTCATCACGGCCCAGTTAATCATTACGCTGTGGAGAAACACAGACCTGCATTCTCATGCTTTGAACGGAACCTCTGCTTCCTGTTGGCCTGTTATCAGTGCAGTAGCTGCCTCGGGAGTGTGAAAGAGGTTGAGCTCATTTCATGCATCTCCCATGCCCACACAGGAAGTGATGAAGCCTTGCTAAACGTTGAAGCTGTGATCATATGGAGATTAGTAACTGTTTATTTAAATAATTATCTTTTTGAATTGAAGTGCTTACTTTGAGAAGCCCAAGTCTACAAATAAGCAAGCGTGATAATATTAAGTTTTCTTTATTTTTCCACAATGTCCTTTGAATGTTCAAGCTCTGCACACTTCTGTTCACAGCTTCACAGTTTGGTTGGGAAATACAGAAATAAAAACAAAAGAAAAACACTTTTACAATATGAGGAAACGTATATCCATATGGCTCCTGTCCCACTGGTCATCCTCTATTTTGATTTCTTAGGTCATCCTTTATGGAAGGAAAAAACAAAAAAAGGTCAAGTAAACCCTGCAGGGATTCAGATTATATGACATATGGCATCGCAAATGAAATCAGTTTTGTGACTCATTTCCCCATTCTAACGAATCTCACCTTGCAGGATGATTGTAAGCCAGCCATACAAACCTCCTGGAACCATTTTAGGAGCAGGACAGGCTTTGGCCTGTCTCTGGCACCCTCTACAGGGGAAAGTGTGAAATACTCTGCATAACGGGCACAGTGGCTAAACAAGAGCTACCTCACACAAAAAGTGACTTGTGTAAACCAGCGTAATCCAGCTAGCATAAAGGTCATACACTTCAAGTGGAAAGACAGAACACTGGGTTTTAGTCCCTTTGATCGTGATAATGTGTGCATTTCCTGTTTCCTTAGCACACGCTTCCAGTGTCTCTAGTTTATATTTACAGGAAGTGGTTTGAAAATGTATTATTAGATCTGCTATGTAACAGTTCCAGCATCAGCATACCTGATGACACCAGAGTAGGGAATGTGGAAGTGAGAGAGTCTGGATATCACCACTCATTAGCTTTGAAACGCTAAATTTGGACTGATTGTAGAGATGCTTCTCTGCACTCTCCTCTAGGATTAATTTTTTCTTCAACCATGAACCCATAGACTCTCAATTACTATATGCCACAGCTATGCGTATTATTCGCTAATATAGTGTAGTTTTAATTACATGCAATTATACATGTTAACATTCCACACTTGTATAGCATTCCACTGTAGCATTTGGCATGAGTATGTACTGTATGACACCTGATACTGTACTATAGCTAATCAGAATAGCAATATTAAATGTTGTTATGCTATAAAATCAATAATGTGTGTGGGTCTGTAACTTCCTACTGCTTTCTTTCTACTTTAGTTTTTTTATAGGCACGTACAATGTTAATGGCCAGTCACCTAAGGAAACCCTGAGACCCTGGCTAAGCTGTACACCTAACGCTCCGGACATCTACTGTGTGGGGTAAGTGTAAGATCTCCTTTGTACTGTATATGCTTAGCAAGTGAGTTGCTTGTTTCTGTTTTATTTTCCCCTGGTTTAGAAAAAGAATGGGCTACTTTGAAAGCCGTTGATAAACGTACAGCAGGTCGGCCAACTCATCAAGAAAATGACACAAAAAGTGCTACTGCAGCTGTCATGACACATCAAATGGGTGTAATAAATTATGACACTCCCGTTTAGCTACTGTACCTGGCATTAATTAAAAATGTGATCGGTGTCTGTGTGGGGCTTTTCTCTTACACCCTAGCTTTCAGGAGCTGGACCTCAGTAAAGAAGCGTTTTTCTTTAATGACACGCCGAAGGAGCAAGAGTGGACAAAAGCTGTGAGTGATGGGCTCCATCCTGATGCCAAGTACGCCCTGGTGAGAGAACGCACTTTCTACATGCAAGCCCTGATTATTTCACCTCTTCTGTTGCCCTGTTAAACCTTGTGAGGGGACATGCGGAATAAGACATTTTTGGTATAAAACGATGTAGAAGTAAGCACTGGTAATTTTATATGACCTTAATGTTTCTGAATGGAGGGCTTAGGTGTCAGATTTCCTTGGAAAACCAGTTACCATACTAGTATTGTCCTTAATAAGTCCAGTAGTTATTCAGACGCATTGTATGTCCATAATGTATCTTACTAAATTGTGTGCATTGATATTGAATAGATTTGTAATTACCATGTCAGAAAGCCTTGAAGAAACTACATTTGTTGGGATAAGATCCTCATATGGACTCAGAAAAGCAGTATTACAAAAATTAAAAAAAGGCTGCTGTGCCTTCTTTCTGAGAAATCTGAGGAGACAAAAGGTTTTGTCACTTCAAGTTCCATTAAGACGACAGATCATTTCACTATTAGTTTTTTTTTCCTAGTGTTGTCACTTACAAGCTGTAACAAAAGTGTCATGTGAATAGAAAACCTTCCCATCGCTTCTAGAAATAGTTCCTCATTTTCTTTTTGTAAAACATCAGACAGAAAGATGTTTTTAACATCTATTTCAGGGTAATTTGCAAATAATGCAGAATAGAAATTCTTAATTTCAGGGATTCTTGAAGAAGAAAAGATTTTCTGTAATTGTTTTTTTTAATATTTTTAATTTATTTTCTGTACTTTTCTTATTCTGGCTCAGCATATTTAGTGTTTTTGTCTCCAGTGAAAGATGTGGTGTTGATCTTGGGCCAGGACTATTTATTTAATTTTATAGAAAACTGGAATGACTGTGATCAGAAAGTGAATCTTTCTTATACCTCAGCCTGAAAAAAGCAAACATTTTTTTCTCCCTTTTTTCAGATTAAGCTAGCCCGGTTAGTGGGGATAATGCTGTTATTTTATGTGAAGAAGGAGCACGCAGAGTACATCTCAGAAGTTGATGCTGAAACTGTGGGGACAGGCATTATGGGACGAATGGTGAGATGGACAGTACTGACCCTTGTACAATGCAGATGTCACACTTTCCTAGAACATGTGCTTTTGTCCCACGCAGTAAGCGACCTATGCCAGCCTTGCTTTCCTTGATGTGCCAAGTTGATGTATCTCTGTACCCAACAATATCCCTAAAAACCTGACTATACTCCTCACAGTTGGGTGCTTTGTGACCAAAGAGTCATATGCAATCCTCAAAATCTTAAACAGTAGTTCCCAAGGGATTTGAAAAATAAAATGTACTATTTTATTTCAATAGTATTTCAATTGTGCAACATATCAATGCTAGAGATGTATTCTGAACAGTTTACCTTTTAGAAAATACCAAAATTAAGGATGCATTTTCCTGTTAACTCTAATCTTGGTGTTCTACTGTGGCACATGAAGCACCTTCATTACCACAAATAAGCACAGCCATAATTTAGGTTGGCTTCCTGGTATCCACATACAGCATTTTTGCAGTTTTGAGTGAGTGATTCCATAAGCTGTGATGTTTATGCAGTGTTGTAGAGCCTGTTTCACATGCCATGGTTTTGTCATGGACAGGGAATTTTTGTGTATGAAAGGGGAGTGCTTGTGGAAACGAAGAGAGAGTTGCTGTAGACAGTGCAATCTCAGTTTCAGTAGTGCACCCTGCTTCAGCATTCACCACGTTGTGGATCTCCTGAAATCTCTCCTTGTCTGGGTGTTGTAACTGTTTCTCTCAGGGTAACAAGGGAGGAGTGGCAGTCAGGTTCAAGTTCCACAACTCCGACATCTGTGTGGTGAACTCCCACCTTGCCGCCCACGTTGAGGAGTACGAGAGGCGCAACCAGGACTTCAGGGAGATCTGCTCGCGCCTGCTCTTTCGCCAGCTGGACGCCTCGCTGCCTCCCCTCACCATCGTCAAGCACGGGTGCGTTCAGCGCGAGCGGCAGGCGGCCATGTTTGTGAGCACTAACTGTAACAAAATGAAAGATTAAGCACTGTGACATAACCCTGTTTTGGGTGCATTTGTTTCTTCCCCTGCAGTGTGCTGTTTATAGTTTAGACAGAAAACACCCAAATGTCCTTTCTTTAGTTTTTAGGCAGATTTCCTAGTGATATTGTTTTCTGGAGGTATTTACCAGTAGCACCTTTTAAATTACACTTAACTTCCTGTTTAGCCTCTTCTTACAAATAATAACTTGTTTCAGAAAAATGGAGAATATTAATACATACAGTATGTAAAAATAGTCAAAGCCCCATGCCCCATCCAGCCCCCATGCTGTGTAAAAGTTTATTTGCTGAAACGTACATGTCGGTAATTCCTCTCTCTTGCTGTGTTTATTCTCAGGATCGTTTTGTGGCTTGGTGATTTGAATTACCGCATATGTGAGTTGGAGGTCGACCAAGTGAAAGACTTAATTGAGAAAAAAGATTTTAAGGCTCTTCACAGTTATGACCAGGCAAGTGCTAGTACCACATCTTGTCTATCAAGCAGAGTTCACCATTGCAGCTGATGCAGCCTATAGACAAAATGTTTTGTCAACATTTAAAAAAAAAATGAAAATCATCATGATTTTAAAATAATTGTTAACGGTAATTCATATACGATGGGCTTAATTGAGATGTTAATCATCATGAATATCTTAGTGATTGAAAGATGGCTACAGGAGACATACTGTATTTTGCAATGGATTTATTTTTTGCTGTTGCAATTCAGAAATTCAGTTTTGGATGGCTGATATAAGAATGTAACTGTACACCTTTGTCTTTGAAGCTGAAGAGACAGATAGATGAGAATGCTGTGTTCCATGGTTTCAAGGAAGGAGAAATTGCGTTCCAGCCAACTTACAAATACGACACTGGATCAGATCAATGGGATACCAGGTACACCGAAGCTAGTTTGATCCAAAAACTTTATTTCTATTGTGATGATCATCCCCCACTCCGACACTTAATAAGCATGTTCAGGTATTTCAACAGACAAAAGTTTTGTCTTTGATTATATGCAGAAAACAATTTAAGTTGTCACATATCCAAAATCACATCTCAGAGTGATCAGCTACTCTCGAGGGAGGATACAAACTACAGGAAGCCTTTTGGCTCTTTTTCAGCTGGTCAGTTTGATATTCTGAGAATTTTATCCAGCTGTTTCTTGAAAGACCCCAGCCAATCAACCTTGAGCAATGATTAGCAGCTTATTTCAGACACATACCATCTTTTTAAGAAGAATCTGTGTAAAGAGCTTTAGTTTTTATTTTCATCCATAAGTGTAAAGCCTTAAACAAATTTCTTTTTGTTTCAGTTATGTCCTTGTTTCACTGTTTATTTATCGATAACTTTCAGGATTTTTGTATGTCTATAACAAATTCCCTCATAATCTCTACTGTTGGAGACTGAAATGATTTAGCTCAGGAAGAATACCATGAATGAATAAGAATATGATTTGTGTTTGTATGTTTTTGCCTTTTAGAAATGGTAATTTAATGCAGGCTTTGGTATTTGCTGAAAGATTTCATCCTATTCTAAAGAAAAAAAAATAGATGTGGACACAAACTGTTTTCTCCCAAAATAAATTACAATTTGGGTTCTTTCTGTGTGTGTGTTTTTCTTCTCCAGTGAGAAGTGCCGAGTGCCGGCCTGGTGTGATCGGGTTCTGTGGAAAGGCAAGAACATCAAACAGCTGGAGTATCGCAGTCACATGGCTCTGAAAACCAGCGATCACAAACCTGTCAGCTCCCTGTTTGAAATTGGGGTGAGGGGTCTGCAGTATAGTGCTGTGTGTGAGCATCGTTGTGCCAGCACCAAATTCTGCTGTGTGTTGCATTTGAAAAAGCTTGTGCATAGTGTGCTTGTTTTAATAAGTAACTCTTTTCTCCTAGATAAAGGTAGTGAATGAAGAAGTGTACAAAAAGACATTTGAAGAAATTGTGAGGGCTATAGATAAGATGGAAAATGAATGCATTCCTTCAGTAACACTATCACAGCGAGAGGTAAGGTCGGGTTCCTTACAAGCAGTATTTCAGGGTTATAGCAGTAATGTGCTCACCTTGCTAACCTGTTACGAGGTCGTTTTATAAGGAATGATCAAAATGACTTCTGTTCTCTGAAGGATTCTTTGTTGGGCGGTGAATGAACTAAATGTATAGCAGTGCACTAGGACGGCATGGCAGCGAAGTGGTTAGCATTGCTTCCTCACAGCGCTGGAGACCCCTGGTGCCATCTGTGTGGAGTTTGTAGTTCTCCCTGTGTTGGTGTGGGTTTTCTCAGGTTTCACCAGTTTCCTCCCTGAAGACATACTGGTAGCTTGATTAGCTTCTAGGAAAATTGACCCTAGTGTATGTGTGTGCCCTGTGATGGCGTCCCATTCAGGGTATATCCTGCCTTGTACTCAATGCTTGCCAGTACAGGCTTCAGCTCCCCTGCGACCCAGATTTTGATGAAACGCTTAGAAAATGGATGGATAGCGAAGCACTATAAAAACAGTAACTTGGGTAATTTTATTTATAGTTCGTCTTCAAGGATGTGAAGTTCATGGAACACCGTGCTGAGACATTGACCATTCACAATGATGGGCAAGTTCCTTGTCAGTTTGAGTTCATTCAGAAATTGGATGAACCTGCCTACTGTAAACCATGGCTCAGTGCGAACCCCTGTAAGGGCTTTCTAGCACAAGGTAAGCAATCGATCTGCACATTCCTTCTGATCAAAATTAACTGAGCTTTCCCTGGGAAATTGGACCAAGTCATAATGCTAACAATATTTTTACATGGTTTATTTAATAGCTTTTAAGTTCAAATACTAAAACATTTTTGACGTTTTTAAATATTTAGTAAAACTAATATTTTCATGATGAATCCATGTTTCTGACTACAGTTTCAATATTTATTTGTTACATCTTTAAGAAGAATAACAAGCTTAACAACAGATTAACATCTGTATGTGTAATGCAGTAGGTAAACCCTCATAGTCTTTAGGGGATTTAATGGTTAAAATATCTGAGGTTGCATATAAATGAATGCGTTTGTTTAGTTTCCCATGAAAAGAGGGACATTTTAAAAATATCCCAAGAGTTGTTTTTTTAATAATTGTGGGTCCATATTTCCTAGGTGGTGAAGTGCACATTGACCTTGAAGTCTTTGTAAACCGTTCAACAGCCACCGAGCTGAACTCGAGAGAGAAAACTCTGGAGGACATTCTAGTCCTTCACCTTCAGAGGGGCAAAGACTATTTCATTTCCATCACCGGCAACTATCTGCCAAGTTGCTTTGGGTCCTCCTTACAGCTGCTGTGTCACCTGAGAGAGCCCATACAGGACATGCCTCTGGAAACAATACGAGAGTTGGTGAGCCAACCAGATTAAAGCACTTTTTTTTTATTAACAAATTTAAGTGGTGTTTCTGAAGATCTTGGAAGAGCACAGAGTTCAACAAAGTGATAAGAAGATAGTGGGAGATGTAATTCCCATATGAAGTTGGAAAATCAGTAGAAATACCTAGTCTTAGAAACTTACCATCAGCTGAATATATTTCAGTATATCTGTGCCTGAGATGTCTGGGAATTGTTTCTGCTAAGAAATAAAACTAGCGTCTTTCATTGCGATCATGGTTCTGTAGTGTTTGAGGTATGTAATGTTACTCATAACCAGCCGTGATTAACATTAGAGGAACAAGTAAAGGTCAATTCCACATTCAAAAGTAGAAAGAAGAAACACGATGTGTTTGCTGTTGAGCCTTCTTCACATCTGAACAATGTTTTACAGTAGAGATTTTTATATTCTTTTATATATAATTGTTTTCTTAACATTATCCTTTAGTTTTATTCACAAAATATTTTGTTATGCTGACACTGTACAGTAAATACATACGTTTTTAACTATGGCATCATACATAATGTGTTTAATTGTAGCGTGTAGTCAGCCTGAATTGACTTTAACTATTGAACTTGAAATAAAGAAGATGTTTGTGTGTTTTGATTCGAAAAGGGACGTTTCGAAAAGGGGCTTTGACAAGCAGGCTCAAATCCAAGACCCCCTGAGTTCCTGCATGGCTGGGAAGCTTGAGTTGCTATGACTGTGCAGTAACCAAGCAAGACAACCAGATGGGCATTTGAATTGCAAAACAGCAGTATAAGTGAAGCACCAGAATGTTTTACTCTGTAACACATTTTTTTTAGAAGTCAGTTTCGAGACAGAAGGGAAGCGTACGCATGTCATTTCCTTAGTGACTTTTCCTGTGCCATGAACACATTCACAAATATGTTGCCAGGGGTATAGATACATGAAAGTGAAACATCTCTCATCAGAATCTTGGCTAAAGTGTTATTCTCAAGATGTTCTGAAATACTTTGAATTTTATACTTTTCAGTGCCTTCATTCCTTAAGGAGAACTTCCCTTCCATTGCCTGTTAAGATTTTCCATTATCTTGTCTATAGAACTGTGCTGCACATCTCTGCAAGAAAGTCCTTCTCTCAGGTTTCTAAGCACCCGGTGCTCATGATGAGTCATGAAGACACATCGTTTAGAGACACAAATTAATTGGTCCTTTGTCTTCTTGGTATCTTCATAGATGAGCAAGCAATCAAAATATTCGGTAACTTCAGGATAGTTTTCCCTAAACTGTTGCTCATCAGTGCATTGTAACTTAGTCTTCTATTTACTCTTGTAGCTTTATTGTCCTTCTTCTGGGCTGGTAGCTACTATAGTGACTACTATAACTACTACTATAGCTACTATTCTTTAAAAAAGAATGAAAAAACAGTAAACACAGTTTACACTCAATTAGAGCCTTACGGCAAATGATATGAACATCACTTTCACAAAAAACAGCATAACAAATAAAGATGATTTTCGAAGGCAATAGAATTTGCTCTGATCTCTTTCTTTTTGTTCTTTTCTTTTGTTTTCGTTTTTGTGATTCAAGACCCTGATGCCCCAGGACTCCACAGAAATGAATAGTGTGATTGCTGAACCTCCCCTTGAAATTCCAAAAGAAATTTGGATGATGGTAGACCACTTGTACCGCAGTGCTGCCAAGCAGGTCAGGTTTGTCCTGCAAAAAAAGTGAGCTGCCTTCTATGGAGCTTTTAGGAATTTTGCTGTCTGGTCAGTCAAGGCTGTTTGCTGAACGAAAGAGTGTGTGTTTCTGGAGGGGTTCCGTATTGATTCACCAGCCCTGCGTTTAACTTTCCCCTACATCAAACAAACGTTTTGACTGTTCTTTGTCAACATGTTAATCAGACACGTGACAGCCAGCATTATGAAGCAGAAAAAGCGATGGCATGTTGTTGTGTACTGCCAAGGATTTCTGTTGAGGATTTTTTTTTAATGATTTAATATCCTTACAGTCTTAATACCTGAATATGTCAGGACATGGATATTTATATGTAGCATAATATTGTATTTGTATTTGTGTCCTAATGAACTGTTGACTTCATGTCCAATTATCATTTTTAGGAGGATCTCTTTCAGCAGCCAGGACTGAGGTCTGAGTTCGAGGAGATTCGCGATTGCTTGGACACTGGGATGCCTGATTCTTTACGTATCCTCATTTAACTTTTTGTGTACCCTTTTGCATTGTTGGTTGGTCCTCCTTATAATTACACATCTGTGAGAATTTCTTCATAGAATCTCCACACATCACAGAGTGAAGTTACAGCAGTACATCCACCACACTGCTGAGTTACCTACATTTTTATTTGACATCTTCTCACTGGTTTTAAGAGTATGAGTTCAGTGGTAGTCTGCAGTTCAAGGCTGAGAACAAAGATAACCAGTGGCAAACAGTTTGATTATTGCATGCAAAAGATCTGCTGCGTCATCAAGACTTCTAAATTTGAGTTGAGTTTACAAACACATATTTCAACATGCAGACTTAGTAACACATATTTCAACATGCAGACATTTCTGTAATGTATAAAAAGATACCTATCTGTACTTCCTCATTCTCCCCATGTGGGCACAGGGCTTGCTGTGATCTGAAACCTAGAGACACAACTGGTGATTCCCATTTGGAATTGATATATATTTTAAAAAATGCAATTGTGCCTTTTTAAAAAAATCGGAAAGGTTTGTTCGTCCAGTGTAAGTTCACTTTTCATACATTACATAACTTCACTAGCTCGCCCTTATTCTTTGAGTGTGGAAAGACCATACTGTATGCTGTATGAAACAAGGACACAAGGGAAATTAATTAAGTGCCTTCAGGACTGAAAATTGGAAAAACTACCAAACTACTTTGCTGAGGCTGACTCCATGTGATCTTCAGAATCACGAAGAATCAGGGATCACTTTGGCTGCTAGACAACACTTAGCTACTAACAAGCAAGATCTCCTCAGTTTTTATTTTATTTATTTCTATATTCCCATAGTGGTTTCGAAAAATAATTTCTGTTTAAAAACTGATGGTTCACAGTTTGGTCTAACTTGCGAATTTGTTCAGTGCTTTGTGCAGGCCCTTCCACGTAGTTTCTGTGCAGACAATGGTGTTGGAAGTTCCAGAGCATTCATCATGAGGTATAAATATGTCACAAGGGGCAGCCTCTCTAGGCCTGTGCAGTGATCAACTGTTTCTTGAAGCTTGTGGGTGAAAACTGCTATACCAAACATGTGAACGTACCTGTCTCTGAGGACAAAAGGTGCCGAATTGTGCCCTTAACCCTGGTGTCCTACAGCGGGCAGTGCCCACTCAGTGGCTGAAGCTCTGCTCCTCTTCCTGGATGCCCTTCCGGAGCCTGTCATCTGCTACTCCTTCTACCAGGAGTGTTTGGACAGCTGTACTAACGTTTTAATGTGCAAAAAGGTCAGCTGGCTCTTCTTCTGCTGTTGATTTCACCATCAGTCTCATCGTTGGTATTGTGTAGATCCTCTCCATTGCCCTTTTTAAAAATAGGTCAGACTGCCGGAGTCTGGGGCCTCCAGGGTGGTTGAGCTGGTGAAGCTGTTCACCTGAGCGCGGGTTGGTCTGGATGATCATGCGTTTGATCCCATGCTGTGTGTTGTCGTGCAGCAGAGTAACGTTCGTTCACCAAATCCTAGATATCTGGTAGTTTTGTGTTCTGTAAGAGAAAATGAAAAGTATTGTTTTAGATGTATGATGAACCACACATGTAAAAAAAGAGATTTATGTGTACAGCAAACACACAAATAAGGTTTATTTGCTTTTCAGTGATCTGAAGTTTTGCCGTGTAAACCACTGGGTAAGAGTATGAAAAAAATCCATGTGAGACTAATTCATTTTTATTTGTTGTGATTTCTTTAGGTCATCACTAAGCTACCTCCATGCCACAACAATGTGTTCAACTATTTAATGGCATTTCTGCGAGAGTTACTGAAGAATACTGTGTACAATCACTTGGATATCAATACACTCGGTAAGGAGGAGGGAGACAATAGATTTGGGTGTTTTATCTGTGTCATTTATCACAAACCAAAGAGTTTTTTAATTAGTGGATAAAATGATCAATTAAAGTGCTTACCGAAAGTGCATCAATATGAAAGCTATTTGTACAAGCAACAATATAACACCACACAAACTGCAACTGAAACTGCATTAAAAAAGTATAATTAATTCAAAATATTTTAACTATGTAAACTACTTATTAATTCTTTATTAATTCTACCACCTTCCATTGTGTGTTTCTAAGGTTTTATTATGGATTTAAGTCCTAAATGTATTTTGTCCTTGAATTTTTTGAATGAGGAATTTGTGTTTTACATGCATGATTAAAACCTTGCACATCTACCTTCTAACATGTGAACTCCTGGAAACATTTTCTCAAGTGCTTTTATACAACACCATTAAAAGGCAACATATTTCACTTTCAAAGCAGATAATTGCCACTTTTGAATATGTGAAGTACCTATTACATTACATGTTGCTTTTGATATGATGAAGACTTTGGACATAGGGAGAGAATAAACGATATTTCAGTTCTGTGGTAGAATTGTAGCTTTCAGGAGGTTCTGAGTTTTAAAAATATAGAATTCCCCAGATAAATTTTCTGGTGCAGTATTGGCCTACCTTTCCACAGTCTGTGCTGTGTAATAATACAAGAACTCGGGAGAGGAAATTACATTTCAAGAATGCTACAAATATATATATATCAGTTAATATTTCTCTCTTAGAGCATGGTTATTTTTGTAAGGCAATTTTATTCTTGATTGCATTTTATATTATTTTTAGAAAAATGTATTCTATGGAAGGCCAAGAATTATTCACTTCTGTAGAGGTTTTAGGTACAGATCTACTTGCAGAAAGCCACAAAGAAAACACTATCTGCACACTGACTTCAGAATATTTCTTATCATGGTTTAGTGTGGCTCAGGTATGTGTTGTTGTCCTATAAGCCAACACTGGCCTATCTGGCTCATTCTGTAAATGCTTGGCATTTGCATGAAGGATCAAAGATGACAGCATTGTAGACATTGATAAATTAACTTGTTCACCTCTGTCGCCCCCAGCATCTATTTTTGGTGCCTTGCTGCTGAGGTCACAATCGAAGCAAGACATCACCGAGAAGAAGAAAGCCCAGGAGTTCATTGCACATTTTCTCATTTAAGGAATCCTTTCCCGATTCCCTCAACATAGCAGCAGAGATGTGTATCTTGTAGTGCTCTGTACAGTATCTGATTTATTTTTTTATAAAGCAAAATTCAGAAATGCACAGAAGTCATATGTATAGTCCTTTTTTCATACCCGATGTTTCCCAGCCGAGCTGGGTTTTACAACGAGCTGTTTGTGTATTGCTTTAAACAGCGTTTAAAAAACTGACATTTTTTATGTTTTTTGTAGTAATTATTTAAAGGGTAATTAAAAGATGTTTTATTATTCTGTTGTGATTTGTAAAAAAAAATGTTTTGTATAAAGAGTGAGTGTTTTATTATAATATTGGGATTTAGCAGTTTCTCTTAAGATTTTAGAGTCATTTTCTAAATAAACTCTGCCCACAGGATTCTATGCAATTGGGAGATTATGCAGAGGTACCTATGTGCTACCACTGACATGAACCCTTGTTTTTGGCTCTAGAAGTAGCCTGAAGCTGTGCATGAAAATATCATGTTCTACAGCCAGACAGTAATTATATGCTGTTTGTGTTAATCCCATAATGCAATCAGCCATTCTGTTTGAGGGAGATATCTAAAGAACAGTTTGCTTACACAAATCCTGAATGGTTATTATATTGTCTCATCAGTTATCATTCTATTCATGCCAACAAGTGTCAGATGCTCCTAAGGTTGAAGCAGTGTTTATTTTAACGGGCTCACTTGCCCCTTTTTTAACCCTCAAATGAATTTTAAATGTGACCAGAAAATTGTATCTTCAGTACATGAACATTAAAGATGGGGAACAAATGCTAGGATATTAGGGTTTAGCTCATTTCAAGCTGATAGAAATGAAATGTGTTAATAAACATTTGTGAAACCTAAATCTTGATCTTGGTGCTGTATCCTACATAAAATTAAAATTGGTGAAGGAAGCCTTGTTTCTTCTGTCAGTGATCGGTTTATTTCGTATTCTGAAGCCTGAGCTCTGACTTTTATTTACCTGTAGCTCGTAGAGTGTGACATTTGCTTTCATATCAGTCACAGATATTGCAGTAGTAAGAAAATGCATTGGTCACCTACTGTACATCATGAGAATGCCTTTGCTTTTGTGTAAAATACACATTGGGTGATGAAGCCATGGCTTTCCAGAAAATACAGATTGCGAAAAGAAAACTGCAGTGTTGTTTTTGGCTACCACTAGACTCTCGTTGCAGTATTTAATATCCAAGAACAATTTTTTCTTGCACAGCAAATGTGTTTCTAAATGAACAATATAACAACATACATATAACTAACAAGGTGAGGCCATTAGACCTATTTTGTTCCTTTGATTACTAAAGCTTTCCAACTGCTTCCAGGAAGATGACAGTCAGTTTTTGCACCTTTGATCAGCACTCAGTTCCAAACAAGTAGCTCTTGTTTAAAGAAGCTACTCCTATTTCCAGTCCAAAATAGTTTGTGCTCTTAATCTCCACTTCAATGTCTGTTATTTCATTGTTGATCTTTAATTAATCCCTTGGTCTCGCCAGATATTACATACTAGACTCAAATTCCTTGGCAATCCGTTGAAGACTAAAAATATTCACGTCTGATTCTTTTTTTAATTCTTACCAGGGTGGAAATATCCTTTATATATCAATGCTATATTCAAAATCAGTTCTTACCAGTGGATAGCACAAATTTAGAATAATTTCCATCCAGCCAACCATTTTTTAACAGATTCATCCAATTTAGGGTACGGGGGAGTCGGAGTTTATCCCGGGCAAACAAGGGGAACAAAGGATACACATGAAATGGAACACCAGTCCATCGCAGTAGAATGATTTCCTTCTGTTTAAATTCTAAACTTTTTTTCTATATACCGAAGTATTCAGTCTTTACTGTTCAAATCCCCCCCACAGGTGGTACAAGGGGGAAAACGCGCATCAAATTCTATAAGTATGACAAAAATTAAAGTTCTCTTCTGTACAGTATGTTTTGAGATGTTTGATGTCTGTTGTCGTGTGGTCTATAATTTCTCATTTGAGAACATTCAGAATGTTTCAAAAGGGGTTTGGGGAATTTTCTTGTGTGTCTGTTTGGAATACATTAGTTTGTTGGCTGTCATTTAGTGCTGATTAAGTAGACAATTATCATTTCTGAGTAAATAGGGACTGTGTGACCATGTGTTCCCTTTAACTGCAATCAGATTAAATGTTAAGTACATGAGAAAAAAATCATATTATTTTTGTCCTAATCTGATGTTCAAATAAAATGCTAAAAATTGTAGCCATTTTTCTTAAAGCATTGATTACGTTGTAAATTTGGTTGCTATTAAACGGTTGTTTAAAAAAATCCCGTGACCCACCCTTGGTTGAACCACCAAATCACGTGAGTAATGTGACGCAAGAGACGTTTTTTAGAAAACGTTCAAAAGTCCCCCAGGGGGGGAAATACGTATAGTATTCTGTAAAAGATTAGTGAATATCAATTTAAAAGGTTATGTTCTGTATGTGTCGAGATAGATACGATCTCTTTTATAGGCCTAAACTGAACTAAATTAAACTAAATTTAATTTGCAGATTAGCAGAGATAACCCTGACTACTTAGTCACATCTTCAGGGAATTGTTTAATTATAGTAGACAGTATATAGTGATAACAGTAATGTAAAACAATAATATAAAAATAATGCAATTTCACTGAAAGCTATTGAACTATACCACAGTAGTCAGAGATGACTATAATTTTCGTGATAATGTTCTGTCTACAGCTATAGTATTAGCCGCAACATCCTTGCCTGTAATGAAACATGTGTATTATCCATAAACACATTATAGCTCTTTTTGCAATGAGAACAAAAACGTTTTTTTTTTTCCTCTCTGGCACGGCATGTGATAAAACCTTACAGGTGGATATAAAAACACGTAGCGGTTACTATGACAACCGGTTAGTTTATTGGGCAGTGTTAGCCTTCTTCTAAAAAAAAGATAACGCTTTAAAAATGTTTCTCGGTCGATTAACAAACTTTCGGGCGAGTGCGGGGTTCTTTTTAAACGCGTGTTTATTTTTTTAAAGTTTTATTTCACTTGAAAGCGATAGCCTGTCAAACTCGGCCTTCCCAGGATGCCTCTGTGAAAAGGAAGCTGAAATGTGACGTTGTTGTTTTAATCATGGTGCCGCTTGGGAGGGGAAGAGAAGAAATCGCCAGCAATCCGAAAGACAGACCTATTCGGCGTCTCTTGAACACCGGTAAAAATCCTTTGCATTTCTGTAAAAGGGAGGCCGAAAAGGAGAGTTTGATTTCCGTACTCCGGTCTTGTTTGTGCCCGATGTGACTCTCACGTTAAACGTCTCCAGCCAAACAGCCACTGAAATGATGCCGTTCATGTAGCCTTATTGGCCGAGCTTTCGTTAGCACATCTACAGTAACAATAAATTGTTTTGTGAAGGGTTGTTTGCTCTTTCTTTGCTTAACCGCCGTTTCATTTAGTACGGAAGTTGAAGTTGTTTCTTGACATCAGCGATCTGTCAGTTAGATTTTTGGATTCCCGCGAGTAAGATCTTCTCAACACCGAACAACCCAGACTAACTGCACAGAAGGGAGCTCACATTATCCCCGATATTCAGAAAACTGAAACATTAAGCACTACGTCGTTAACAATACTGAATTAAGTAACGTTGCCTAAGTGGGTTACTGTTTGGAGCGTGTTCAACAGAAACGGGAAATACTGTGTATGTATATATGTCTTACAATTTGCAGACAACCTAAACCTTCATCCATGTACACTGATGTAGGCTACTACTTCTGTCCAATTGATCTGAAATTCGGTATTTTTGTGTTGTCCTGATTAAATGGTTTCTTCTTTTGATTTATTTGGGAGGGGGTGCTCCAAACTTCTAGCATTTTCGCCTGTAAAAGCAATCGTTAGTTAAATCTGGATTCCTTCAAGAGACGTACTGTGTACAGAGAGAAGGCTGATTTTTTTTTCCTAAGCGAAATTAAAGTATTTCGTGTTTTTTGTTTTGTTGTATATTTTTGTATGTTTCGCTCGTGTTTTACGTGGGCTTTGAAACTAAGTTGCGAGTTGTACACAGGCCAGAAAAGCAGCCTTCCCTTTTCACTCTCGTCCTGTCTTGGTTGATAGAGACCAAGAAAACGTGTTTTCTTTTTTTAAAGAAAACATTCGTAAACCGGTTGATAGGTTGGGAATACTGAGATTGAGTAGGTACTGTTGTCCTCCGAATCAGTCGTGAGTACACAATCAAGAGCAAGAAAAAAATGATTACTTATTACGGCTGTGATCTGTTGCTTGATTGATCGGTTGGAGAGTTTGGAGGTCTTCACGTTCAGAATTAAATAGGAATTTGTGGATCTGTGCGTATATTCCGAATGCACATACTCGAGGATTCGAGCTTCGGTTTACTGTGCAACAAGAAATTGAAATTAATATGGAATGAGAACATGTTCAGTTGTCAGTACTGGCAAGTTCCTTTGGCTGTGTTATGCAGTTGCTTACAATGTGTGTGAAAGTTGTGGACCAGCTTTGATTTTGCCCAAAGCTATAGCTGTGGTTGTCCTATTTACACTTTAAATACTCCGCAAATTGGTTCTGTGATTTGCAAAGTAACAATTCTTACACAGCGGTCCTGGGAATCGGTAAAAATGTATGTTCACGTTGATTTTCACATGCTTGATAATGACTACAAAGTCAAAAAAACACTAAATCACAATTATGCAAAGTTTTGTTAAGTATGACAGTGAAATGGTCATAAAGCAATTTAAATTTTCCCTCTACTGGAAACTGAAATACTTAAGTAATACTTCAGTTTTGTGTTATTGTACTTATTCCTTCCTCTATTTGCATAAGAAATTTTATCCCTTTTGAGTTAGCCAATCTCAGTGGTATTTTGTAATTCTGTTGAAGTGTTTATTAAATTAAAAATCGAAATAAAGAACATATTTCTGTGCTTACACCCTGGTTTCTCCTGGTTCACACTGGCATTCTCATGCTGTTTTGATGTAATTATTTTAAAAGGGCTGGATTTTATTTTCTGGAAATCCTAATTATTCTTCAGATGAAAGTTGACTCCCAGCTCAGTCTTTTCTTCTTTTTTTACAGAAAATTTCAGCGCTGTGAAAGTCACCTGGCACTGAGCGACTTCAGACCATGGGTGAAAATGGCCCACACAAGGACATCATGTATTTTGAGGTGGAGGTGGATGAGGATGAACTGACGCAGGAAGAAAAGATGGTGGGCTTCGATAAGAATGGACTGCTGCCCTCCTCCTCTGGTACAGTTTACGATCGGACCACTGTTCTCATTGAGCAGGATCCGATAAGCTTGGATGAGGAGGAGGAGGATGATGGGCAATGTGGGCACGACAACATGACTTTTTTAGCAGAGGGATCGGAGGAAGGCTTGACTTTCATGGCCGATCATGAAGGAATGTCACAAGGATATGTTCATCACACAATCTCACCTGATCAGATCCAGTTTACTATCAACCCAGGTTCTACTCCTATGCCAAGGAATATAGAGGGGGCAACCCTAACCCTGCATTCAGAATGTCCAGAGACCAAGCAAAGAGAGGTACATAAATCTTTTATTCTTTCTGTATCATTTTTCCCCACTTGTCCAAGTTTCCTATTAAAGGAATATGCAAGGATCCCTTGAGCCAATGGTATCAACATTAAAATCATGTGTTTTTAATGACTGGTTTTTACAGTATTAATCACATGCATAAAAAAATAAAATAATGAAACCAATAGGTAATAGTGTTAAACAGCCCATGTAGGCTACAGTTGACTGGATATCACCGAGCTTTTATAATTTTCTTAGGGGAATTTATTGAAAATAAAAAACAACTGATAGTCAATATTCAGATGAAGAACATGCTATGATTCCTTTTGTGCTTAGCTAACGCAGACCTGTTTGTAAAATTATGCAGCACTCAGAGTTGTCAAGTAATTTGCTTAAACCATGCCATAGGCACATAAGCAAATTCAGAAAAATACAGTAGCTCTCTATTACTTTCATTATAATGGAGGTGAACACAGAGGACATCTTGATATTAATTGGCTGTGTATTTTCTTGTGTGTTATTGGAGTGTCCAGAATATCAAACCATAAAGAAGCAACAATTAGAATAAAGTCTTACAAAAAGATCCCAGAAAATGAGTTCATTCTAAGGGGATAGTTAATTTGTTTTTGCTGAATGGAAAATGAAAGCTACTGATTTGCATAGCTTGCTGTACGTCCCCTGGGCCCCCTCTGCTCTGCGAAGGTTTATGATGGATCTTCTGCCACCCTTTTCATGTAAACATAATGAGAAAAGGGATTACCATTGACAATTTCTCATACGTTAAATAATTATAAGCTTTTCAGTGACTGAACACTAGACTTTTTCCATGTATTTAGCACTTCACTGGCTATTCTAAATTTACAGTAGCTTTGTCTGTGAAGAGCTATTTTGTACTGTATGTACATGGTGTCCTGTTTGAATGTATATTGTCTGATTTTTGCTTGGAGATCTTGCAGCATTTGATGATAAGATGTTCGATACCCAAAAAAGAAAAAGTGTCGTCTTTTCGAGCCCGGGTTGATTGAGTATTTGGTTTTTGTGATTCAACAGTGTGTGCCGACTAGAAAAAAGATGGAATAGGTTTGTAGTAGGGTAATATATCCTACACATCTCCAAAAGAAGCAATTTCTCTGTGTTGATATTGTACAAGGATCATTTGTTTCTATAATTATAGAGTTGGCAGGCAAAGCGCAAATCTGCCTCCATCAGTATTTGTTAAATTGATTGGTAAAGTGTGTATTTCCTCCTCGGATCAGAGCAGTGTTGTTTCTTTGGTTAACAGGCATTAAAAGATTCACAGTAAGTCCTTTTCAGGGGAAACAAATAAGATGTCATAAAGGCTGTTCTTGTACTTAATTATCAGTCCCTCGTGTGTTGAATAAATTAAAATGTAATATCTTGCTCAGGCAAAATAAAAGTGTTTAGCATGTTAATTTTCATTCACCTTTGCACGGTTTTGCCTGGAACTTCATTGATGTTTGACGTTAAGTGTGTGTGTTCCATTAAGATTTAAATCCACATTTATTTTTGCTTCTTCCATTTCAAGAAGACATATTGTCATTTATTGCAGATTTATATTTTTTAATCATGATTTTCTACTCATGCGCTTCACAAATGTGTACTTTCAGAACTATAAAGATACTGATCTACCAAACACTGAATGGTCTGCTGAAGCTGTGAAACCTGATATATAGTCTTCATAACATTATAGGTCTTTTTATTTATTTTGCCAGGTATTCCGGAGAAATTACAATACTGGGATCATATTTACTCTAATTTATATGACCCACCTCTCCAGAATTCACCGAGATCTTTTACTAGCTGAATTAATATCCATTTTCAATAATTATTTCAATAAAGATAGTCATGTGATCTTCCTCATTAAATGTTTGCTTTATTGTCGGGGAAAATGTTATTGTAGTTTTATTACAGTATAGATAAAAAATCTTAGGTTTTCAAACCTACAATATCTTGCTTGTATCGGTTTTCAACATTGAGATACAGTATATGGTTTAGTATTATAACTTTGATAAATTGTTTTTCTGTTTGATTAGAGGTAACAATTAGAGAGTTGAATTGAGTGTTACAGAATGCATGCAAATCTATATTGATCCTACAGGTGCATCTTGATAATTTGATGTAGATTTATCTAAATTATACTGGAGCATTCAAAGACTCTTAAGATTCATCCATTAGCAAAGACAATTGAGATCTTCAATGTAGCAAAGAAGGTGGGGGCTGTATTTTGTAGAGTAATGTTTAACTTCAATAGTTTCCTCCTAAATGTTACTTCAACCATTCTATATTTAAGATGTTATATGGATCATAGGATTTACAGCCAGTTAAACTGAAAGGAGGCTTTTACAGGATAATTTCTTGCACTTTATAGTTCCTACTCCTGCTTAAGATAATGTATATTATCTGTGAGTAACTGATTGAAACTTAAAATGTCTGAAAGTTACTATTTCCATTTTGGCTTGGAGATTGAAATAGAACTATTTAATTTTGAACACACCTCAAACATTTATAATTATTAATGTATCTGTAAAATTCTTGTCTTGAAAAGCAGTAGACTTGTTCAAACATGTTCATTGCTGGTTGATCTGGATCAAAGTAGGAAAGCAAGAGAAACCCTGGCATAGGTTGTGCATTTAACATTGTAAAATAGTTGGTTTTGAACCAAGACATTATTTGAAAGAAAAATTATCTCATTGCTTAGTTGGATTGTAAAAGATCTTTTAGCTCTTCTCTCAAATTGATCTTAGTTTAATTTTAAGGATGTGAATAGTCATTTACTTGTGCTACATACATATAGATTGCATTCCAAACTTAAGAAATATGTCTCTCTAAATGCAAGGCTCTTTTTATTCTAGTGTATTTGTCACCAACATTCCAAATGCCTTAAAGCCTTATAGGATGAAATCCTTTTTTGTGGATTCAACTTTGAAGTTTTGGTTTTCGAGGTTATCCGTTAAAAATCCCCATGCTTAGAAAAAACCTCAAAGTGCAGTTTGGGGGAGAATACTTTGCAATGAATCCCCAATTAGTGGAAGGATGTTGTATACTATCACAAATTGAGATCGCATATAGAGACTAAGAACTAAGAAGTAAGTTTTTTTGTGTGTGTGTGTGTGTTGAAGTCGTCAATACATGCATTAATTGTAGAGTGTACAGTGCAAAGAGTGCGATTTGTTTTCAGCCCTGGGGTGTGCAGTTGAGAGACTGAAGCTATTGTTGAGAGCAAATCAGCTGGGTACCTGAAACCAGGCCAGCTCTCGGCAACTGAGCTTTCTGGAAAACTGCTGTGCTCTGTCCCTTTTACTCTGTCGAGAAGAGCTGAGTCATTAAATTCAAGATCTTTACAAATGTCAGAGCAAGTCTGAATTCCCATTTGCAACTGCTTTATTTCTCCTGTGCATAAATGTTTTATTAATCAGTCACTTAGCATTATAGTAGGCCTACTGTGTGACTTTAGTCTCTGTACAGAGGATATCTAAAGCATGTTCATACTTTAATTAGACACTTAAGAAGTGATCCTGAAGTGTCCATTTTAAAAGTACTATTGAAATAATCAGGATTTAATATTTTTCAAGAAAGAATATTGTTCAAAACATAATTCTGTTACAGGAAAAGCCCAGAATGTTCTCTTAGGTAACCTACAGTGATGCAGGACACGTTTAGGCTATTTGAGTTAATACAGTTTTATGGAAACCAAACCATCAGTTAGGAGTTATGGCAAGGCAGCCTTGAATACCCATTTCAGATCATGAATTGTACTTGATACTTTTTTCTGCTTTTATAATAATTTGATAAAGTTCTCATTATGTGCTGATATGTGTCAAAAGGTGCAGTTTGTTTTGTTTTCAGAAACATTTATATTCTCATGCATGCAGTGAGACAATTTAACCTACATTAAAAGATTATTTATAATGTTTTACTATATGTTGGGAAGATAGATTTTAAAATGTACTGTTTACTATAGTTTCCTTTTATTTGCTTGCTTTTTCTCCAAGAAAACTAGTGGATAACATGTTTTTTTCCAGCTATATATAGAGTACCTTTATACTGTACTTCTCTGCATTTTTTTAATACACACCACATTTTGACTTTGACTTTTAGTCCTTGAAAACGTATTCTTCTGAACAATAAATGGTTTGTTGAAATTGTGTGTCCTGTATATTTAACTATGTACTATAGTACATACTATATGTGAATGTAAAAAAAAAATTCAAATGTTTTCCAGGTTAAAAGGTACCAGTGCATGTTTGAAGGTTGCACTCGTACCTACAGCACAGCAGGGAACCTGCGGACTCACCAGAAGACTCACCGTGGGGAGTATACATTTGTCTGCAACCAGGAAGGCTGTGGCAAAGCTTTCCTTACCTCCTACAGTCTGAAAATCCATGTACGAGTTCATACAAAGGAAAAGCCCTTTGAATGTGATGTACAAGGATGTGAAAAGGCATTTAATACACTGTACAGGTGAGGCAGTGGTGTGCTTCTGTCTTTGAGATTAGGATTGTGATTCAATGTAGGATGAACTGTACTGAATTCAGAATGCTGCTGAAGGGTGGAAGTGGTGCTTGTGATAGTCTCTTTCTGTATGTCTTGAACTTTTGTGCTTATATAATATTTCCTTTGAGTCTGAATTGGTTTTAGTTTACTGATTGTGAAGCTAAATGTATTGCAACATAAGTTAAGGCTTCAGGGTAGCATATTGATGAGGGTTTTCATTCAAAATAAAGACTGAATGTTTCTGAATGCTGAGTCCAACCTGGAAAGGGTTCATTTGCTTTGTTTTAGGTTTTGTTTTGCTTAGACTCTGAACAAAGTTTATTGTACCGTTTTATGTTAAAAATGAATGAAAAGGGGGCCTATTCGTTTGTAATGCTTAAGGCTCTATTGGAAGTACATGTTAGCATACTCTGAAAAGTGACAAAAACAACTAATGACTGCAGTCTAAAGATTTCATATCTTTCTGTATAACCACCTATGTGTCTGTAGGTAGTTAATGGTGCGTGGTAGGCGCGTGGCTTTAAAAAAAAAGATCTTATCTCCTCAAAATAAATGTTTGCCTTATGATAGAGATGCCTGGTTCGCATTTGAGAACTTGCCCAAGAAGCAGTTCAATCCGAAACCGAAATTTTAACTTAATTTTCCTCTAATGAATATCTTACTTCATCACTGTCAGTTTGAGTGAAAATACGCCAATGGCATTCTTAAGACTTTTGCTTTTTAAAAAGTTAATGGGAAGAAATGCTTAATGTCTTTATTTAGGTTGAAAGGTAATGAAAGTAGGTGCAGTGGTTTAAAGTGCCGTTGGTCATGTTCTGTACATGGGCACTCTGCAGTCACTTTTTATTTAACATGAAAACAGGTTATAAATGATTTATAAACATTGTACAAATCTTTTATCTTCATAACAGTAGTTTATGGATGTTGCATTGCTGCAGTGCTCAAGACTGCCATCTGATTTATAGGCTCAGCATTTAATGCAGTTTTAACTTCTAGCAGGAATCCTTGTCATTGTTTACTCTGCAGTCACTGAAGTGACTGTTATATTAAAGGGCTGGTTTAAACTAGACCAGATTTCTATCAGTTCCCTGCTTATCAAAGGAAACAATATAAGCCCTTTCTCCTATTCTGTATTTTTAATATTCTTGCAGAAACAAATCAGAAATTAAAATGCTATTATAAAGTAAAATAAGCCTGAACTATTACATAAAAAGAAAAAATAGTCTTTAATGCTTATTAATTTTTCAGTTTCAATGAATTCTTAATTTAATGTTTCTGTGTATTTTTCTTTTCTGTTTTTTGGAAATTCTACAGAACAATTTCCCCCCCCCTCCATTGTTAGTCTTTATTTTGTACTGGGTATTAAAAACATTTCTTCTCTTTGATGCAGTCAGTACTTTAGTCCTAATTGCTTAAAACATTCACAGGCATATATTGGCATTGAAGTAGAGACAGAACATTGTGGAGCAATTGATAATGTGTCAGTTGTAATTCATGAGCAAAATCAGCCAGTGCTATAGTGTGTTGTCCCTCTTAATCTCTTTCATTTCCCATATCGGAACCATGCGGAGCTGCAAAGTCATATTTCATTGGTTTTGAAAAGTAGTGATTATTAATTAAGCCTATGTACTTGAATTGGCAACAGTGGGACCCTAAAAGTTTAATAAGATTGAGATTCTTCTTCCCCTAAAAGCCCTTCCTTTCCAATCTTGGAAGGAATTAGTCAACTTTTTTTTTCCATTGGTTGTGAAAAGCAAGAGTCCCACTAGAAATGTACGCTTTAAAGGTTATGGTCATAAACATTGAAACATTGCTCCTAAGAGGGTCAGTAGCTTTTGTGATGTAGTTGGTAAGCATCCAGTACTGATGTATGACCTTCAGAGACTGGCAAAAACCTTCAGAGCTGATTACTTCACACTTCATTAGGATGGTTACCTATCGTCATCAGGATTCACAGCCTTTGAATTCTGTTCTGCACTCTAGGGAATGGCATTCCAAGTGAAATAACTGCTTAAAGCAAAAGGGATTCGTTTGATAGTTTTCTTTCTGAAGGGGACTCAAATAATGTTCTTGATTTGATAAAACTGAGGAGGAAATAAAAGAGCTTACTGAATTATATCACTTGATAAAATATAGTATAGTTGCTCTGAAAAAACACATGTAACCCAGTTCAGGCTGTGAACTTTGCTTTTGTACGCAATAGTGTGGTCTGTACCTAATATTCAACTATCCAAGTGAATCTGTATTGACAGTATAACTATATTACCTTGTGTTTTGTAATCTAGAATAATCCATTGTCTAAGTACAATTATCTGGGTAACCTTCACTGAGTGTTACAGAAAGCAGTTTCACATTTCTCCTTTAATCTTAGTTTCCCGATAGAATCATCTGAAATACTGTCACACCATTTTGCTGAATTTTACATGTATGTAATCCAAGACTTTCTGATGACTAATTGTCCTTAATCTGTTTGTTTCTACCTAAACATATTTGAAAGCATTGTGTAGAGCTTTGGAAAAGCCACCTGCATTTAGGTGCACTTTTACGCCATTATGCACAACTATTTGGACCATGTTTGTCGCAAAATGGTTTTAATTTAGTAATTATTTCAAAGGAAGTTAAATTTTATCCCAATTGTACTTGTAGTAATCCTATTTAGTAGTAATCATATTTGAAAGCTTTCCATTATAATAACAGTATTTAGCTGTGTCTATTTCAGAAAAATATGAATCTCACTGGTATGTTTACAGATTGAAAGCACATCAGAGACTTCACACAGGGAAGACGTTTAACTGTGAATCAGAAGGATGCACTAAGTACTTTACGACTCTCAGTGACCTGAGGAAGCATATTCGAACTCATACAGGAGAAAAGCCATTTAGGTAGGTGAAGCTTTGTTTTTGTGTGCTTGATTGAATTCTGCCTGTGTTTGGTAATGAACTCAAAAGAAATACACTCAATTAAAACCCTAGTTTATTGAAGTGTTAGTGAATGATTTTTCTTTTTTGTTGAAGAAATGCCTTATGTGATGGTCGGACAAAGAGACTATTTTCTTGGTTCATTTTTTTTCAGAATGTGTGTCAGTTTTCTAAACGTTTGAATGAGCACAGTGCCCTACCAGAGTAATTACCTTGGTGTGGTCTTTCTAGGTGTGACCATGACGGCTGTGGAAAAGCGTTTGCTGCCAGTCACCATCTGAAAACGCACGTCAGAACACATACTGGTATGTTCAAGGGTGCTTTGTGGTGCTTTTGAAAATTGTGGTTCTATATTCAGCTGTTTTTAGCCATTTCATGTTAGGTTTGAATGTTCTGCTGATCAGTGTACTGATTTCATAAATCATTATGATCTGTGAATTAGGAATTAAAATTGCACTCATCTCAGCACTTTGCTGTGTCAATTTATTTTCAGTACCTTTGCCAGTGCCTGTTGTTGACACTTGTTCAAGTGCATTCAAAGCTGAGAAAAATAAGCTTTTTTTTTTTACAATGTTTATCTTAAATATATACTTCGTGAAGCATTTGCAAAATATGGGCATTTATTTTGTAAATTATGTTCTGCATGATTATCTGGTCTTAAATATGAAACCAATGCTGCAATTGCATTCAGTCTGCATAACATTAAAGTCGGACATCATAATCTGCTGTCTCTTTTTCAGAAGTGGAAATTTCCATTTCAACACTAAGATGTTGCTTTGCGTTTCTCGTATTTCTGGAAGTTTGATTAAGAAAAGGTCCCTACATTTTTGTGATGTTCCAAGTCTCATTTCCTTATTTAACCAATGGCATGTGCACCACTATGGAAGTCTAAACTCTGTTCTGTAGTGAGGTTTTAGGGTAAATGTTCTCTAACTTGCAGGTGAAAAGCCCTTCTTCTGCCCTAGTGATGGCTGTGAGAAGACTTTCAGTTCTCAGTACAGTCTCAAGAGTCACATGAAGGGACATGATAAAGGACAGCCTTATGGAGGGGCACTCAGTCATTCCTTGTCTGAAGTGAGTTTTCTACCCCAAAGATGATAATAGAACACATATTGGAGATGGGTACATTTATATTAGCTGGTTTAAGATGTTACAAGAATATAATCAAGTCTAAAAAAATACAGATGCAGTCTTTATGGCATTTCAATAGAAAAGTAACTTCTTAACCTTTATTTTGAGTTCAACAATTGTGTCTTAAATTGCTGTTGTTTTGACCCATTTTCATGATTCTTATTTTTACTTTTCTTGGTTGTTACAGGATGCAAATCATTCACTTTGCCTCAGTGATTTGAGTTTAATTTCCACGGATACTGAACTGAGAGAAAATGCGAATAATGTAAGACTTATATTGTTTGTTTAAACTTTTTACAAAAGACTTGGTTAATGCACACAGATGCAATACTAATATTTTTTTTTAATTGTTTGAGAATTTGTTTTGAAAATTACTGTCCTTTTCTGTTTTCAGTCTCAAGGCCTCGATCTAAACAGTGTTACACCAGTGAGGGTATTTGAACTGATGTTTCAGAGTCCGGAAAACAGTGTTAGTCAAGATGATGCTCACCCAAATGGTAAGTGTGCCAGTATTGCATTGGATATACATTTTTGATTAACAGTAGTACAAGGTTTAACTAGTATGCTAATAAGACAGTAAATGGCATTATCTTAAATAGAAAAATATTGGTAACTTAAAGAAATTAGATTAAGCATGGTGCACACTTTTGACTCCATGATAATTTTAGCAAATTATAGGTGTTTTGTCACAAAACAGCCTGGTGGTGTAATGGACAGCTGAATGCACCTGAAGGGTGATCGTTATGCAGGAGAAGAGGGCTGCTGATCAGGGAAAGCGATGTGAGACTGTGGGACAAGAGCAGGCAGGCAGGCAGGTCACAGAGCTGTGGGTGCACTGTGGAGAAGAAAGGCAGAGGTACAAAAGGGAAAACCAGATAGAACTGTCAACCAGGTGAGAGGCCCAAACACTGGAATCGGGCAATCCAGGTGAAACATGGGAAACGAAGCAGGGGGTCAACCTGGAAAAAGAGTAGAAGGCACTGGGGAAAAATCCACATAAACACAGTAGAGACAAACACCATGTCACTGACCCAAAGCCAAGACCAAGCAGTACAATATCAGCTAAAAGGGAGTACCCGCTCAGTAATGAGGTAAGTGCCATTTAGTTACAAGGCAGTAGTATTGACAACCTGCCTGACTGTGTTGCCATGGGAACAGGCAGAGTGGACAATGAATTGCGAGATTGACCGCTGGCTGTGGTGTTACATGAGCTGGAAAGACATGCGCCAAGACATTGACAGACTTCAGACAGTTAAAATGGCGTCAAGAGTGTATGTTCATTTTAGGCATACCAATAGCAAAACACTTGAACACTGCGATATTACATATGCCAGTTTAAGGTCAAAACTTTGATTAGGTAATGGCTTTTTTTTTACCCACTGCGGCATGTAGTATTTGTAGTATTTATGTTTTATATGTTACATATAAGGCTTTATTTGATTTTTTTTTTTTGCTTGCATTAAATTGAACGTTGTTTTTATTTGTTCAACTTACAGATGCATTGGCTGAAACCTTCAGTTCTGAAAGCGCACCTGCCTCTACTGCTCAGCCTCCTGCTGCAGACTCCAGTTCGCCCATGACTTTTCCCATGCCATATCCGTCATCATTGCAAAGCAATGCCCTGGAATCCTCAAAGCCAACACCTGCGCCTTCAGCACCCCTTCCGAACGCGTCTGTTGCCAACAGCTCACAGCCAGCTGTGTTTGGAACTCCTCCCAACGTGTTGCAGACACCAGAAGTGCCTGTCCAGTCCAATTCACAGCCGTACCCACCAATGCAGCCTGACTTCCTTCAGCCAACGACTCCTCTCTCTCAGCCTGGCCCCCAGGGGCCCCCCGCAGCAGCTGTAACTAGTGCCACCCCCACCACAGCCCCTAGCACAGAGTCGCTGCCAGCCATGGTGCAGACTGTGCCTTTAGCTGCAAACCCTGTCTTGACCAGTAACCCCACTATAGCAATTACGCCCACCCAGAACACCACTATTTTGCAGCCAAGCATTATGATGGCAGATCAGAACTTGCAGTGGATATTAAACGGTGCAACCGGTGCACAGCAAAATTCAGAGCAAACGGTAAGTCTTGTGCTGTAGAGCCGTTAGATCATTCTTCTGCACTTGTATTCTAAACTGAAAAATTCCAGCAGAAGTACTCAACTTACAGGCACTTTTTAATTTATATTCAATTTGAATGGTCTATTGGCAACATTCTGTAAGCAGTTGGTTCTGTAAGAAATTAGTCATTCAAGACCTTAGTCCAAGTTTTAGACTTAGCCATTGTTTCTTTAAAGAACATCTTGAAAATTTACTGGGCTAGTTGCATCGATTTTTAAAACTTGGCTAACATTGTCTGTTGGTATTCACAGAACTACAGATGTACAGTACTTTCATGGATTGTTTATATAGTTTTTAGTTTTAATATGCAGTATTTCCCCCCCCAGCAACATCAAGGCCCTAAAGTTGAAAAAGTGTTCTTCACTACAGCAATACCTGTTGGAGGAAATTCAGGTATGTTCAATTTTTATATTTCTGTATAAATGATTTAGAGTTTCGTAATTACAAAGTGTGCATAGTAAAAAAATGTATTGACATTTTGTACGTGTGTATATTGAATTCAAAAGTTAAATACAATGGCAGTATTAAGTATTAATCTATAATATGAGGAACATAACTGTCATATTTATGGCTTTGATAATAAGAAAATGTCAATATACAGTAAACCAGATTTTTTTAGAGACAATTTCTCATTATACGGCATACACCAATATATTATACAAAAATAAGCCACTGATAACATAGAACTGTTTCCCAATATGGTAAATGAATTACATGTTTAAAAGGTATCAAATACCACTGAAACATTTGTGTTGACATCTTGTCCTCTCTGTACATGTGAAATGTCTTGAAATCCAAACCAGACTGACCCAGCAGTGATATCAGTTAAGCTTCCCCAGTCATGTGGTTACCTCTTTTGCCTTGTCAGTCATCTTAAAAGTGTGCCAGTTCAGCCTTCTGTGGCGATGCTTTGTGTTTGAAGTAACAGGGCTGGTCCTGGGGAGCCACACACCTGCTGCTTTTTAATATGAGCACTCGATAAAGTAATTGAACCCTTAATAGACCTTATAGGTGTGATTTGAACTTTGATTACTTTCACTTCCTAAACAGGGCAGGTTGCCTTTTAACTATTGGGTTTCAGAAGTAACTTCAAAGATCTCCAAACCTTGAGGAAAAAAATAAATTAATTTCTTGGATCATGTGAAGAGCTCTGCTGCAATAAAGCCAGATATATGGCCCACCAGGACTAGGATTGGGAGTACCTGCAGTAAACTGTGCCTTTTTTCATTGAAATTGCTATATCTACCTCTGTACATATTCTACATTTTTAAAACAACCTAGGTGTGAGGTTATTTTATGTACATCAAGGATTTTATGTGCATAGGTCATGAACTTTTCACTACCTTTAAACATTAGGATGAGTTCTTTTTGACTCCAGTTGGCTTTGTATTATTCCACTTCATGTAGCTGAGCTAATTGCTTTTTTTGTTTTGTTTTAGGAAATCCAGTTCAGCAAATAGGTCTAAGTCTCCCTGTCATTATTATAAAGCAGGAGGAGTCTTGTCAGTGTCATTGTGCTTGTAGGGACTCTGTTAAAGACAAGAACTCCAGCAAGAAAGACGGCTCGTCTGCACAGGCCCCCGTGCCAGCCCCTGCCCCTGCCCCTGCCCCTCCGCCCTGCTCTTCTCCTCCACCTTCTTCCCCTGCAAAGAAAAACGAGTCCCCTCAGAGCTCATCGGGGCAAGACAACCCTGCACCTCAGCCTCAAACGCTCCCCTCCACTTCCGATGAGCACGGAGGCCTAGCCCAGTCCCATGATGCCCAGAATGACACTTTGATCAATATGGACATGTCAGATTTCCTCTCTCTGCAAAGTCCCGAGACGCCCTCGAACATGAGCACTATTGAAGCACTGTTGTTGGTTCCTGACGATTTTACCCTGGGTGGGAGCAGCAGTGGCAACTTTTCCAAGTAATGTGTCTGGTTTGCCCTTCGGTGTTTTTGGAGGTGTTGTTCCTTTTTTTATACAATTATTTTGTTCTCACTTGTTTCCCAAAGGCTAATTTTGTGTAGACATGTTTTATATTTCCTTATACATGAATGCCCATATTACAACCTGGACCATGGTGTTTCATATACAGTACATTCTGATTTACTGCATATGACTTAAATATACAGTTTTCGTTAATGCAAAGTGTCACCTGAGGAATGCATTTTCATAGTGATTATTAACATAAAGCATCATCTTAACAAAGGTTATTGAGCTTCTGGAGAATGGAGAACAGGCCCAAGGTGGGAAAAGGTTCAATTCATAGTCTCAGGACTGTTGAACTGTTTTAAATAGAAGCACAAATCAGTCTCAATTTGTGCCTTTAAAAATGCATCAGACAACATTTTCATACTGGATATGCACTTTACCAGCTAGCTTAAATAAGCAGTTGATGAAAACCTTCAGTCAGAACAAAAAAGTCATCGTCCCCTTTCCATGACTTAAGGGAGCATCAGTGAAAATGAAAAGGAGATGACTGTGGCGAGCTGTAACTTGATGAACAGTTCTATATGAGGAGTGCTGAATTTGTGATGGTTCTGCCTGCTGTACTTGGGGAAACAGTCATTTTTTCCAGTTCTGTTATGTATTCTCAGGTTACTTGCAGTAAATTTGGCAATTTATGTATGCAAATAAATGGAATGTACTGTGGGCTTAGTAAACAATCAGCTGTATGGCCAAATTTCATTGGATAAAATATAGACTGGAACAACAATCTAATTTATCTCAAATTAATTTTTCTGTAAAATGTCATATTAAATATTAACAAGAACATTAGCAACAACCCTAAACCAATTCACTTTTTGAAGTATGGAAATAGCTTTTCCTTATTCTTTTGTAGCTTGCAGGCTTATACAGCTCCCCACACAGACCTTTTATTAAGAATATGTTCTCAGTTTTCTTTTTAAAAGTTTTTATGACGTTTGGTCTTTGGTCCATAAAAATCAATTGTGTATAAATTAGACATCAATTTTACATCTAGTTTGACACCTGTAATTACAATATGACTTTTTAAACAAATTTCCAAGCCGATACAACCATTGAACAAAGGTGCATATTAAGGTTTCTTGTACATGTTAATTTATAAAGTTGCTTAATATACAGTACAACATTTAAATCATATAACTTTCTGGACAGTTCTGTTCCAAATTATGGCCTCATCATTATTGGCAAAAGTCTAAAAGGTCTCATTTGTGTCTGAATCTCTGTAATTTTAACTATACCCAGTTTAATATATTATAGTGTTATTTTCTTAGTACATTTACTAGTCATATGATTTGCCCTGCATTCCTTCTATTTTCTTAAGATGGATTCATAGTTTTTATTCATAGTAGAATTTTTCTGAATAGGTTTCCCAGTTTTCTCATTCAACAGTTTCTAACTATATACATATTTATTTACTATTTCAATAACAAATACAAATTGTATTTAGGACATTTAAATGTACAGTAATAGATGGTACCACATACTGTGAGGGTGGCAAAACAAAGTTAATCTGGTGATTTTGTGACCACATTGCATTAATTTGAATTAGATCCTGGAAATTTACTTTTATCTGTGGTTTTCACAGTTAAAGGAACTCTTACAAGTAATGTTATCTAGTTGGTTATGCAAAGTATGCATTTATTTGTATATGCATTAAAGGTCAATTTGAAATCGGAATACCTTTAGTTAATGTGTGCATTTAACATGCAAATTCACCTCTGGTCAAAGTGTTTTGAGTGTTTATTAAAACGTGTATATGCATAGAACTACTTAGAGTACTTATTATAAGAGATGTGAGCAAAATCTTAAACGAATGTAGAAAGCTAATTGAAACCACAAACTTAACCAGAATTTATAAGGTGAACTCCCTGGATTTCAAAATGTGAATATTAACCTTACTGTACAGTACCTATTTGATAAATCCTACTACAAAAATGTAACCAGTTTGGTTCTCCATTCACACACCATTGTATTTATGGCACCTCTAAATGGGAGAGCCTTTATTTTTTATTCTTTCAAGGCCAATACATCATGGTATCACATGTATATATTTGCAATACATTGCATTACAATAGTGCATAAAATGGCTTATTGATACCAGAGATGTTAATGGCATGTACCTAAAACCACTGTTCCATGTTTTCCATCACTTGACAACTATATTTGAGGCCAAGAATTACCAGAATTCCTTGAGACCTGATGTGGGACTTTCACATGAATCTGTTTTAAAATACTTCCTAGTCAGATCCTGAAGATAAGATTTAAATGTAGGAATTCTACATAAGGTTTCTGTTTTACAAACATACGATTTGTGCCTAGGATTCCACTTAAGTACTTAAGTGTCCCTTCTACCCATGCCTGATTACAATTTGCCATTTTTAACAATTATTAAATTCAAGATCTTTGTTTTTCTCTATCTTTTGTACATATCTAGTCTAATGTAATATTCTTAAACCTGGAACAAAGGGGATAAAAATAAGTTAATTGCAATTAATAATTACATAGTAAAGAAGTTTCATTTGAAAGTGCACTGCCAGTCACAATGTAACCTCGCATTTCTCGATAATATTTACGTTTTAACTTGGCATTTGACAAATTGCATGCTAATATTATGAATTGCTGAGGACTTCAGGTTACTGTTCAGTTTCTAAAAACTGTTCATTCCTTTGGTGGGAAATGATGCCCTTTTTATGTTATTTGTTTAAGTTTTTAAAAACAGATTTGCTATAAGAATAATCGCTATGCCCCAGTGTGACTACCAAACTGACCAAGGCATTCTCCTGTTGTTACTACTGTAGCAGCCCCATGCATTGTTTTCTTTTAAGTTATTCTGTTAATTTAACTGGAAACCTAGTCAGTCTCCTCTAGATATAAGAATCTATATAAACAATAGTGACTGTAGATTACAAGTATTGAAGTTTCTCTGATACTCTATTCAGTTTTGTTCTCATACAGTATGTTGTTTAAGAGAGCAATAATCTATGCAACCTTTTATAAACCACCAACTTGAAAGTTTCACGGATTGCATGCATCAAATTGTATGTTTAACTATTTGATACAGAAGTCCACTGGTAAAGAAAAAAATAAAAACAGGAATGTTCATTGGATGTTATTGTATATTTCGAAATATTTTGAACTACCTTTTATGATAGTGGTACTTGAACAATAAGTTTTAAATGGTAATCATCTGGAAACTAATGAATGAGTGTATGTTGCCAAACGTTTCATATAATTCCTATAGCCTGGGGAAAAAAATCAATGATGTTTTGTTGCTGACTGCAGTGTTTTCTCTCATTCACTGGAAATTCAAATAGATTGTTATTGAGATGCCTATCAAAGAAATAACATGTACTTTGCAAAAACACATTAAGGTTTAAATTTCTTTGAGATGATTATGGATAATTGGAAATTGCATTTGTATTATGATAGTCAAATGCATTGAAATTTGGTTCTAAAATACTATATTTCAATAAAAGGAATAGAAAATAATAAAGTGAGGAGACAGACTCTGAAAATGTGAATATTATAACCCACATTAGTTTTTGAGGCATAAAAGTCCTAATACATTTTACTGACTGTGCAGCACTACCAGATATCAGTCTACATTTTGATTTAAATTGATTTGGCTAAATTAGTTGCACACAGAAGTAATGGTATTCTATAAAAATGTTCTGCAATACATTTTCATGTTTAAGTAATTTAGCAGTAATTAATCAGCAGTAATCTTGATTCATTAGGTAGCTTTTGTTTTGTCTGCAATTTAAGTTGCCTTTTTTCCTATGCAAATTTCATAATGCATTTAATGAAGTGGTCTTTCCATAATGTCTTGTCATCATTATGTGAAGTGAATTACCAGATTTAAAAAAAGAAAGTTGTAAAGCTAAAGGTTTGCTAAGGCCAGTTCAGGAAAATATTGAAAGCAAAACTACACCCAGCACAGCAGTCAAAATACAGTTTTTACAATTCAATTGGCAACTGGAAAACAGAGGATGATACTTTAGCTCATTTGCATTTTTATTATTTTTTAATTTTTTGGGTTGTTTACTTATTTTGTATTTTGTTGAGAGCTTCTGCATTTCTTCACTCTAGGAAAAAAACAATGTGAGTGAATAGTAGTATAGTTTTGCATCTAAATGCAGATAAACACCAGAAAAAAAGTATTACAGACTCAAAATCAGAACATTTTTGCTAGTGCATGTCTGATTCTGTATAATATTAAGCAAGATGTAGTCCACAGATAATGAACACTGTATCATATAAACAATTCATACTCACAGTAAGGCTGATTTTGTGTGAATGTAGGTTTGGACAATATTACGGATGCATTTCTTTTAATAGTGACACTGCATTTAGAAGTTTAAGATGTTTAGGACTTTGTAATGATAATGTGTAAATTACACCTTTATGAAGACTATCCTAGCACTCTTTAGTTTGACTGTTTATTCTGGAAAATATTTTCATTTATCTTACCTTGATTGGCACTTTGAACTGAATGAAAGTAAACTCAGATTAAGCTTAGATTTAGGGGAAGATTTAAACTTTATCTTCATTTGCCCTTCTGATCTTAATATTTACATATTCTTGACATTTTTCCATAGCCTTGGGAATATTTAGACATTTTCATAAGACATGGGATCATTTTAGCCAGTTTATAAGGAGGAAACAACCAAACAAAAGATGTGTGGAAAATGAAATTCTGTTCTAAGAATTGTTTGAGTGTGTCTGAACCTTTGATAGTTTTGTTAATGCATTTGTGGGACTGGTAAACTCTCCTGAGGAGATTTGTTTTCTATTTTTTGTCCTTAAATTCACACATTTTCAAATGTCTTTCAAGTATTTATTGCAAGCCACAAAGTCAACACAATTATACAAAATCTACTGTATAGTCTTCATATTTAATTCTGTGATACTAATGTTTTCAAACCACCATTATTGTTCAGACATTGAGCTCAGTTTAAGATTAGAATAGATATTTAACACTGGTCATCTTGACGTATTCTCTAAAACTGCTGATGGCTAAAGATCATTTGGTTCAAATTGTTGCACATCCCTAATAAGTGGTAATTTGAAAGGGTTTTGCTTATTAATTTCTTAAATAGTTTTCAGCTTTGGAATTAAGGCATGGTGGGTGGCAGTATGTTCACTTCGTTGCTAATGTACAGGATGTGTTCTGATATTTTGAGTATGTCCTCTTCAGGCGTGAAAATAAAATACTTCCAACGGAAGAGAATGTCTCCAAAACCCAAAGAGTGAAGAAAAAAAACATGTAGAGGATTTGTATTTTTAAAGAATGTATAATGTGAAATTGTTTGCTTACATGCTTGTTTTGTATAAAGTAATATTGTATTATGATTTAAATTTAACATTTTTGGAACTGAAAGCAATATAATACTAATTAAATCCTATCTGACTTACCTGCCTGTGCATTCATGTTTAATTTAATTGGAGAATTTGTCTTCTGGCAAGTTTTCAAGAAGCAAACAAGCTGGAGAGCAGTAGCCTTGATAACCCACTGTACAGTCTTCAAACTGATATAAATGAGCTAGAAAACCCAGTGTGTGGCCTTCAAACACACATTCCCCTTCATGACTGCAGCAGAGCAGCACTCTTCTTTAATACTTTAGTGTGGGTTTTAAGGGGGTCTGCTGGGCTATTTTTATATTTCGGGGTTAGAATGGTCATTGTTGAGTGCGTTTCAAACAAAGTGTACACAGTAACATATCCAATTTTTAATGTAGATTGGAAGTTTTACATTAACAATTTCCAGGTACACGAAGCACCATAGTGCCGTCATTGTCTGTGAAGCGGCCTTATTACATTGTAAACAAGCCGGCTTGTAATACAATAGAAATATTGCTCTCGACATCCAAGATGCTTTTGCCAAAGAACTCTAGTCACTTGTTAACTCTGCACACAGAGCACGCTGGATAATTTTCTTTGGTGAAGTGTCTGCTGAACAGCCTGTACTTATTCGCTTTTACACATTACATGAGTCAGTCATTATGGTAACTAGGAAGCAGGAAGGGCCACTTCACGTCACAATTCTCACAAACCCTCACCCCTATGGTGACTAATTTTGCAGTTAACGATTTTATTAACAATTTGGAATTCATAAAATTTTGCAATACCATCAAATGTATTTTGGTACTGAAACTGGGAAATCAGGACTGCAGTTCCTCTTTAAAGCATGATAGAAGCTCATACCCTTCTACTCAAAATTCAAAAGTCTCCTCTTGCCAAGCAAGACAGTAGCTTATTTGTAAATCAAACGCACAGGGCAGGAGTACTGCCGCATCCCCACTGCATGGCCATTAGAAGTTCAAGTTTAGTCATTATACACAGGTACAGTATATGGTATAACGAAATGCTATTTAGCTAGCTCTCAGACAGTAAGCAGTACAAAAAGAAAAAAACCCAATACAATTGTATAAGAAAAGAAAGACAACAGGCAATGTACAAAACAACAACAGGTAACAGGGAATGTACAAAACACCCTCAGTTGTGCAAAATCATATATCAACAGAATGAAATAAAGGATAGAAAATTATGAGGAGTGAACTTCTTGACATGTGAGATAGATGTAGATTTCAATGGGTGAGTTTTGATAAAGAGAGAAGACAATGTGAGGGTTCAGATCATAGGTGAGAGGTGACATAAGACAGGCTGGGAGTTTAATAGTTTGATAGTGCAGGGGTAAAAACGGTCTCTGAGTCTGGTAGTCCAGGCCTGACTACTCCAGTACCATTTTCCAGATGGTAGAGGGTCAAACAGTTTATAGCTGGAGTGTGTGGGGTCTTTGATGATGCTTAGAGCTTTCCTCAAGCACCGTCTGTCATAAATGTCCTGGATAGATGGGAGAGCAACGCCAGTGATGGACTGGGCAGTCTTCACCACCCGCTGTAGGGCTTTGAGGTCAGCACTACTGCACTTGCCCTACCACACTCTGCTGTAAACTGTCAGTGTGCTTTCTGTAGTGCTTCTGTAAAAGTTAGTGAGGATCTGGGGCATACCTTAGCCTTCTTCAACCGTCTTAAGAAGTACAGGTGCTGCAGCGCTTTCTTAACCACACAGGTGGCGTTGAGAGACCATGTGAAGTCCTCGGTGATATGGACGCCAAGGAATTTGAAGTTACTGACCCTTTCCACTTCAGTCCCATTGCTGTGGATAGGGGCATAACCATTTTACAGTTTTCTGAAATCAACGATCAGCTCCTTGGTTTTGCTGATGTTGAGGATGAGGTTGTTGTCTTCCCACCACAGTGTAAGGAGATTGACCTCCTCCCTGTAGGCCCTCTTATCATTGTCTGTGATCGGACCTACAACTATGGTGTCATCTGAAAACTGGATGATGGAGTTGGTGTTATGTTTGGCCTTACAGTTGTGGGTGTAGAGAGAGTAGAGCAATGGACTAAGCACACACCCCTGGGGGACACCAGAGTTAGTGTCCCGGAGGTATGGATTCCAAGCCTGACAGCCTGAGGTCTGCCTGTTGTTTGGTCCACGCTACTCCTGTACAAAAAAACTTCATACAGCTTTCATAACCCAAATTTCATCAGAAGTCATCAGACTTGAGCAAACAGAAGGTCTAACATTCAATTTTAACAGGACAAAAAATATATATATACACCTAGAGCCATACATGTTCTTACTTTTAATTTTGCAAATAAAAGCCAATTATTCCCGACTTCCAAAGCCGTTTCAGTGTAAACATGTTCATGGATGATAACGCTCTTGTGTTATCCTGCGCTTGTCTTTAAGCTGTTGAAACATCATCTCTCAGCGGCTTAGAAGCTCCAGCAATTTTTTCTAGTTCCTTTTTCTGAAAGAAAGAAAGAAAACGTTAGGCGTCCCCTTCGCCGACGGGAGAGTTTGCGTGAGGAAGGGACGGAGGCCGAACAAACCTCCAAAATGCCCTGGAGACTCCGCAGGTCTTCCACGAGGTCCTGACACACGTCCGTCAACGCTTTCAGCTCCACCAGCCTACCATTCAAGTCATCAAGGCACGGATCCTGAAGGAAAAAACAGGCATCCAGAGGGCACTGTTCTGGCGTCGCCTCTCTTCGGCCGGGAACTGGGCGTTTGTTTCGGAAATTTCTCCGGAAAGGTTACGGACCTGCAGGCACGCAGGGTCGCGTCTCTCGTTTCCACGCAGGTCACTCTCCGCATTTTCCTCGCCTGGAGAAAAAAAAGTGGCGGGTACCTCCATTTTCTAAAGTAAACGTTACAGTGTTTGCATCTTGCATGACAGTATATTCAATAGTACCTGTTGCCATCGCGTGAGCTTGTCGGGGTTCAGACTGCCTCTTCGTTAGTCTCCTTTTTAACAGGTGATTTATTTTAATGAGCAACTAGTGGAACCAATAATGTCCGTTGATTCTGGACACACAACAGTCCACATCTCAACAGAAATGTAGTAATAATACAGAAAGGGTAGACATTTCTAAACTTTCTGTACAGAAAGGACAATAATGTGCTTAATTCGGCACTATCTTAAGACAACGTTCCGAACGAGACTGAACACAATCATAATTGCCTCCCGTTACTACCAGTTCAAATTGAAATAAATGAAAAACTGTACCCACCGCATGCACAAGAGTTGAGGTCCTGAATGCCATAAGATCTTCGATATGCTCATTGAAGTCCACATCAATCAAAACTTTTATGAGCTAAGCATGTTAACTCAGCTGTTACCAGGGTTCCGTGCAAAAGCAAACTATGCATAATGTATTAAAGTACTCCTCAGGTAATGCAAAAGTACTCGACGAGCTCTGCTCCCTGCCTCTTTAATTTAAATTAACAGGGTGCTCTTTTAGAAGGCGTGACCCGGAAATAGCTTTCACATGGTTACATCAGATTGCTGCTGCTGTTCTGCCGCACAGACCATGCTTTGACTGGGGAAAAGCGAAATTTGGGGGTTTTCATGCAGGTTGTAGTGCGGTTTGCCGACAATATCAAAGCCTCGATACGTTCCTGCGCGTTTGCTGGGAGGTCGTTGGTAAAACCAGCGGCGATGTGTAAGGAGCTGAAGGGTAAAGTGCTGAAACTGGAGCCGCCGGCGAGAAACGGGCCCATGAGTTGCCAGGGCGATCGTCAGCAAGGTAACCTGGAAATGTCAGCATCCGCTGACCGTGGTCTTTATTGTTTTCCGTTTTTGACAGTGCCACTCATGTCACCGATCGTTAAAAAAAAACTATACAGTAACAGCAGCGAGATCAATTCATATTTATTGATTTGAAGTTAATGTATTTATCGTCTCATAATTGTATTTGGCATTTCTTTTGTACTTGTCATGTCAGGTGGTCTCTAGACTAATCTTTGAGTTTAATGAGCAGTGTATTGTAATATTGCGATAATTAATAGTTTTATTTTGCGTGGGGGAGTTGGAAATATATTACACCTCCGTCGGCGAGGAGTCCGTATCTGTCTTTAGCCATATTGTGGATTAAACATTTTGTTCGTATCCATAGCTCTGTTCTTTTAAACAGTTTAGCACTGTCGGGTTTGTTATTTTATTTGTCCCAAACATAAAACGCTAAGAAAAGTCATACAGTCCTCAGCCACAACCTCCCCTCGCAAAGAACTCTGGTACATGTAGTTCTAAATTAAATGTTCGCCAATGAACTACCGCTTCCTTCATACTTTATCCAATAAACGCTTTTACTCGTAACATTTTCAGGAGTTTGTGCATCACTAAATTCAGACTTTTCACACACCCTTATCAGAAGGCAAAAAACGATATAAAATACTTGCATTTGACAATTCACAGTATAAAACCTATTCTAAATATGTGTTTTTATTTTAGACTGGAAAAAAATTCTGGACACCACAGTTCATGTTCTACAGGCAGGACAAGTCGTGGCTGTGCCAACAGACACAATATACGGGTTAGCCTGTCTAGCCCAGAATTCAGACGCCATTAAAAGGGTTTATGACATCAAAGGACGAAATGGCGAGAAACCTCTTGCCATATGCGTGGGAGAAATAGAAGATATTTATAAGTAAGTTTCACAGGTGTCTAATTAATATTTTGAATGGAGAGCCTGTAAACTGTATGGGCATTATCATTTGTTTGTCTCATGACAAACTTAAACTTGAAAACAAAATATGTTTATATATACAATATATACAGGTGCTGTATAATATTACCGGTAAAAAAAAAAAAGTTTTTTTGGTAGGTGTGCACTGCTCCAGTAGCAGTTTACTTGTCATTGAGTGTTTTGATTTAAATGTACGTCTTTGCCTGCTTATATTCCACTCTGACCTGTCGGTCAGTACTGGGTCATGTTTAATAACAAGTGAATGAGGGTGCTGTTGTATTTGCAATGGAAACGGGGGATAGGGGTTGTAATTGTATGGGTTATATCAAATAGACAGTAAGGGTGCAGATTGTTGCTGCTGGTGGGAATGTGAATGGAGCAGGAAAGGTCATGGAGTGTGATAGTTAGCATTGTTAGTTATTTGTGCTGTTTCAGAGAAAATACAGACACACTCTAGTCATCCTAATAGAGCTAATGTGAGCTCAGTGATGCATTTAACTTGTTCGTGGACAAGTAACCTGGCTGTTGGATTTTTAGGTACTGTAAGGTGTCAGTTCCTGGCCAGTTACTTAGAGACCTTCTGCCAGGCCCTGTGACATTGGTACTGGAGCGCTCCGGGGAACTGAACATGGACCTCAATCCATTCACTCCGGTAAGACGCACACAGTGTGGAGACTTTGCAGATGCCGTGCTGAAAGAGAAGTAGGGTTGCCATGGTAATTTTTAAATCATGTCATTTTAGCAGTAGAGTTTATTGTAATGGGGATGTTTTTTGCTGCAGTAGTCTTGACTTCAATAACTGTAACCTTTCTGTTAGAGATGTCCTTTTTTTAACAATTTCCTTTAACTACATTTCCAGTTCATAGTCAATATTTAAAGGAGATTAAAAGTTAAGGCGTCCGCTGTTTCTGAAGGAACGCGCCTCTCGTTGTCGTTCTCCAGTGAAATTGAGCCTGCATTCGGGAGCTTTTCTCCACCTGTTCTCTCTGTAACACCAGTATCCTATCTGTAAAAGGAGGCAGCTTCGAAGGAAGAGCTGGTTTTTCATTCTCTGTTCCTCACTAAATATTTTCCCTCAAGAATGAGGCCCACTCCACGATAAAACCCTTACCTACAATGTGTGAACAGTTTTCCACCTGATCTACCGAAATCAAACGGCAACTCTTGAATCCAAATCTACAGTAAAAAAGGCCTGAGTCATAGCTACCTCCCTGGAGCTGTTGTGGCTGCAGTTGTTGGCTTTGCAGTATATTGTTTGCTCTTTTACTCTGCTTATCTTCCTTTTGCAGTTGGTGGGCGTGAGGATTCCCAACCATGCCTTCATGAGGAAGCTGGCCCAGCTGTGCAGGGAGCCTCTCGCTCTCACCAGTGCGAATGTCAGCTCGCAGACCAGTACCCTCGTAGTGGATGTAAGTGTGGGAAGATCTCAGGGGGTGTTTTTAGTTGATGTAACCGTATGGTGTCTGTCAAGGTGATTTCTCTAGCCTGTGTTCCAAAATGCCTGAAGCAAATGAATTCTTGTCCGCTGGGTTGGTGGTAAAGAGCACTGCGTGTTTATTGGACTGAATTTCAAAAGCAAATGTGAACTCTATTATCCAGAGCAATGCATTCCCGACTATTTTCTGTACCAGGGATGTCTCGTGCCCTGACGTGCCTTTTTTTTCAGGTAATTATGTCTAGCTGTGTAGCTAACCCTAGTTTATATAACCAGTTCGCTGTGTCAAAAAGTAGTTGTTCTTTCTCTTGTGAACATTACCACACTAATACCCCTACGTACTGCATTTTAAGGTATATTAAATACGTGACTCGTTTTCTGACCATTCATCTCCTTTTTATTTTGCTTGTTTTGCAAGTGCTACAGCGGTCATGTGTTATTTTCTTTGAAGGAGTTTTGTGAGCTGTGGCCCTGGTTAGCCCTTGTCGTGGATGGTGGGCCGATAGGTGACACGATGAGTCCAGAGTGTCGTTTGGGATCAACAGTGATCAACCTGTCTTCTCCAGGACAATACAGCATCATTAGGCCTGGCTGGTATGTAGCATGCCAGTAATACACTCAAATGTTAAATATACCTTATACAGTATTTGGTGTATTTTAGTCCATTTGGAGTTCAATTCCTACTCTTCACACAACTCATTAATAATGCAAAATATCCATTTACTTCAACTGGTGTTGTACATATAGTATTATCAAGGTTTCAGCAAATCTTTTGGTTCCACCCGCAATTTCATCTGAGTCAACATTTTCAACAGTATCAATATGTTGACATTTTTGGACTGATTTAGTATGTGGATAATATGTGTTGAGTGTGCGTTATGTAAGATTATCTACAGAAAGCCAAACATGTTCTTTGGCCCAGTTAGTGCAGGTTTGGGTCTTGGTCATGTCACTGGATTTCCAGTTACAAGTTAGATGTATTGCACATCTGGCAAGGTTGAATTGGGATTGGACACCAAGGGTCTCTGATGTGCAACATTGTATTCTTCAGGTGCCTTTCTTTCATCCTTTTTTATAATTGAAAAAAACTATTGTTTGTTTTTGTTCCGAGAAGGGCTCACTTTTATTACTGCAGCATCAAGGCTGATGCACTGCAGCTAAAAAATAACCTTTTCTGCTGCAAGGTTTTAAATAGGAGCTATAATTCTTCTCAAGGACTAAATGTTGGAAGCACTTCTTTTAAGTCAGGCAAAATGCTTTTTAACTGATGTATATTGCATTAGTATTAGCATGGGACGGGCTTTATCCTTTTGATGTTAATTGAGCCTCAGTAGGATAGTTCAGAAAAGTAGAGCTCTTTGGATGCATACCGTCTTTATGAACTGTTAAAATCTTTTTCTATTCATTACCTTCTTTTGTCTTCCACTTTTTTTACAGTGCACTTAAACCTACTGTTGAAATTCTAGAGAAAAAATACAGACTGTTGCTCAAACCTGCACATCGGTAAATATACTGGATCCACTTGGCTTCCTATGAGATGCAGAAATGACTTTTGCTAAGGTGTGTACAGACTCTGGATTTCCTTTGATCCAAACCTGTTGACATGGACCCCAAGCTGGGATACTCTACTGCAAAGATTGACTTCTGGCAAGAAGACATTTCATATGATTTTATACCGATGAATGGCATTACTCCATGTCAAAACTTAATCAGAAGTAATGTCTTCAAGATACTTACCTTGATACTTATCTTTAGAGCAAAATGTGATGTTTTGTGTAGCACAGACAAAATGTTTGTCCTTTCTTTTGTCTAAATGTGATTTTCCAGGGTCGTTTAAGGTATGAAAAAGGGTTTATAGAGCAGACCTAAGGATACAAGCACTCTGATGCAAAGCTGAGTGAATACATGAATCCTAAGCATTCGTGGATTTTTTTTTTCTGTTCAGTTTTCAACACTGAGCCAAGGTTGCGTGCAGTACTTGAAAGGATTCTCATGCTGCTTCCTAAATGCAGCCTGCTTTTTTTTTTAAATTCTGCTGTTGTACTTAGTGGTGCATGGCATAATTCCAGATAAGACCAGCAGTCAATCTCTGAGCTACAAAAAACAGCTTGTTTGTGCCAGAATCTAAGGAACAAATAGATTAAATCCCCTAAAATACAAGTTCTTAAGATGAAAGAGCTTCACAAACACTTACAGTTCTCCTGGGAACTGGTAGTCTCAACCATATTGCTTTTTCATTATCCACTAGTTAAGCCTGTCATTAATATTTTACAGCCAAGGTGTTTTTAATTCAATGTGCCTCCTTTCACCTTTGTAACAATTAATTTGGTTTAGAACTCCTTTGGGATTATTTTCTCTCTCAGACGTTGTGGTTGTCCCTCCAATTTTAAACTTGTAAGTCACCAAGATGGGTTACTGATAGGAATTCTGTCTTTTGATAGCATTTGAAAGATTTTTTTATTTTGTGTTTTCCATATTAAAAGAATGACCTCTTTGTGCTGTAGTTCATTTCAAAACCGACAGATCTTTAAGATATTTTGCAGTATCTTGTCAAATTCATTCTAGAATATGTTTTCAATAATAATACTGTACCACAGAGAGGGTTATTTGATATTAAGAGGATAATGGTAAATGATACACAGGTGGACTGGGCTAGTCAGACATGTGGCAACCAGGCGTGCTGTTCACAGTCCAGTGAATGTTTATCAAATGTAATTGTACTGCAGTGCACAGTTATTTATATGGCCTACCTGATCTGAGCACCATGCATATCTCTCTTAAAGGATTTCCAGTATCAAATGCTACGTAGCTTTTCAAAAAACTTGGAAGAATCAATTGAAACACAAGCTGAACAGGGGCATACCAGCCTGTATTTAATACATATTTCTGAGCAACAGTAGAGTTGTAAAATAAATATACTCTTCTTCCGTATAAAGCTCCATTAAATTGAATTTGGTATCTCTATGGTTTAAGTGAACACCAGTGTGTCTCTGGTAGCACAGTACCTACATCTGCTAGTAAGAACTGTGCTTTGAAGCTGTTCTGGGTCTTCAGCCTGTAGTATTTCTTACTGGATGACTGGTTTGCCTTATCAGCAGTATCTTTGCAGACAAGTTGTCTGTCAATTATATGCTTGCTGGAGGAATGTACTGTATAAATTGAATGACAGGGGGGACTTTATTCCAGTTCTTTCATAATGGTTAACTGACAGCAGACTCACTTTTTATGTAGATTTTTAAATGAGACTTTATTTAAACTTTAACTTATTTTAGAGCTTAATCTTTTGTACATATTGGAATGTTTTGATCTTGTAAAATATTTTAATCAGAAACGTGCACATTTACTCCTGGGTTACTTTTCTTTCTGATATCCTTCTTTTTTTTAATGTTTTATTTCTGTGTCTCTTGTGGAGTAAGAATGATCACAGCAGAAAACGTGCTGTTCTTATGTTTTGCATAATGATATTCAGACTGACACATCCTTTTAAAGAACATTCTTGGATTCAAACCAGGGGCAAAATGGCACAAAGCAATATTCATCATAATAATCATTTGCTCTGTGACAGTAAAGTAATCACTCTTTCCATCTTCCTTCAAATATTTCTTCCCCTTGGGACTATCAGTGTTTTACTTGTTCTTTTGTTTGATAGAAATTGCTTGAGCACACATCAGCAAGGAGATTGCATTCATCTTATTTTTGAATGCATAGTATATTTAGTCATTGCTAAAGAACAATGTAGTTCCCATAAATTTCATTTTTCATAAATTTCGTTCATTCTGACAGCGTGTTCACTGAATATTTGAGAAGAGCTGTATGCTCTTCTCAAAAGTGCGTAAAATAAATTATGGTGTCGTACCTGTGAATCACAAGCAGAATGTAATCATTTGGATGCATAAGATCATTAGAAGTGTAGTTGTTGTTATGCTGTACGGAATTTAGAATGATCTATTTTCCATTGCAAAAGTATTTTTTGTTTAATTTGATTGTACAACTCTGCAAGATAGGACTGCAAATGCTAGGAGCTCTACATGGAATCAAGAATTGAAGCTTCTATTTTATTAGCCGAGTACAAAATTGGCTGCATTGTTGTACTGATTTTCTAAAAGCAGACAGATGAGTGCACACTCTTTTATTCTTAAAATAACTACTCTCTTCACCTCTGAATGAAACCGCATATTTTCACAATGCCATTATAAATAGGTTACATACATTATAGCTTGGTTTTACAAATACCAATTTTCACCTCATTTAGGGATACAAGGTAAAGGCTTAGCATATTTTTGAGTAGTAATCAACGTGTATCAAAATTCACGTCTTCTTTTCTTTGACCAATATGGCTGCCTGGATAAGGAATCCACTTTCATTATTTGACAGCAATATGAAATAGAAAGAACACCCAAAAGTGGGTCTGTAAGTAGATGAGACAAAAGTGCAATGCATTGTGGAGATGTCGGGTGTTCTTTCTTTAGATTAGTAGGTAGAGGTAAAAAATATATTTTTTGGGGGGGCAGCATTTGATGGTAGAGAAAAAACGTACATATAATGGTTCTGATGTATCTTCTTCGTTTCATGGTACTGAACAGATGAGGTGGAAGAGTCTGTCCCAAACTTAAGCATTTTAAACATTTACTCAGGCTTTAAAGCTTTGTTTTAGACTGTTACTCCTGAATCATCCTGCGATGTTCTTTCTGGTTATTCACCTTAATGACAATCTCTTCACCCCCTGATTTCAATTTGTCCTGGGTTAAGTATTTTTAATGCCAAGGGAAGGTAGATGTATATACAGTACATATGCAATGCAGGAATACATTTACATCTGTGTCGATTTCTGAATATGCACAGAATACTTTTTATATGTGTATGCTGTATCCTTGTTCATTTCTTTTCATACATTTCAGTCTTTGTGTTTTCTCCATGTTGCACACACAAAATACCTTGAATGAGATTAGTTGTTGGACATGAGAAGTTCTTATCCTGTTGATCTGATGGCGAGGTTACTGAGTAAACCAATGCTTTGCCATTATATCGCCGTCATTCAGCCAGACCTCTCTCAGTTCAGAAGCAGCAGTGAGAAAGCAACTTGTCTGTCAATATGACTGACCGTGCTGGTGCTGGTGGCTTACAAAGTGAGTTGTACTGCAAGCGAGGAAGAAACTCAGCTCTCAGGTTACCAAGCATTAGATCTGACTGGATATCTGATTTACTTAAGAAATGCAGTAAGGACACAGGAATGGATACAGCTGGATCTAAGTAACCGCAAAGGCTTCACTTAGAAATGGAAGGTTCTGCAGCTGTAGGAATGAGATTGCAGAAAAAGGCTGGGGTCCCAATTGAATTGAAAAGTAGTCCCACGTCATGCAGAGCCAGTTTTTTCCTAGGCTTTGATTTAAAAAAAAAAGGCCTCCAAAACCATTTTCAATTGCCTGCACAATGCCATACAGCTTCTGTAATGAGCCAAATGAAAACAACGCCACTCTTGGTTTCACAGTGTAGCAGACTGGAGCTGCCCCACCGTGGCAGGATCCCTCACATGAGCCACTGCTCCTTCTCTCTGTTGAACTGCTCGGCCCACTTCCGGGTCAGTTCCAGGTACAAGTCGGGCTTGTGGGGCTGGTAATCCAGGTAGATCCGCGTTGCCGTCTTCTTTGGCACGGCCTTCTCGATCTGTGTGCCTTCGTGCCACTCGTTGAAGGAGGTAATGGTGACGATCTCCGGCCGCACCATCAGCGCCGCTTGGAGCGAAGTCTCGTAATACTTCCCGTTGACCCTGTTCCTGGTGTTGTGGTTGTTCCACGGCCGGATGCTGGTGTCGATGTAACCGGGGCCGACGCTGGGGATGAACATCAGGTTGTTGGCGTCGCAGAAGGTCTTGATGGCCTTCCAGTTTTGGTGGGAGGAGCCGAAAGAGAAGCCGTTGGACGCGAAGTAGGTGTACATGCCGTCGAAGCCGCTGGACAGGATGTCGTGCTTGTGCCGTTCCTCCACGATGAGGGCGATGAACACGCCGTCGTAGGGGGTATTCCGCAGGCTGTGGGACCCAGACACGGTCAGCAAGTCTGCCCAGGACCCAGGCTGGGTCAGGTAGGAGTCATAAATATAGAACAGAGGCAGGATCTTCCCCGTGCTGGTTTTGAATCTGTACAACGCTCCATGGTTCCCATACCTTTTAATGCACAGAAAAAGAAGAGGTCTATTAATTTAGTCCTGACTGGATAACTAGCTGGTTTCATTTACATACAGTACATGGGGGGGTGAGTGCACCTGTGTCGAAAGCATCTTAAAATGTACTGTAAATGCTTCCATTTTTAATAGCTTTAGGCAATACAATTCAGGAGGAAATGCTCTTAAAAGGAAATCGTATTGAACTTGCCTGCTTGCCCAAATGAAGTGTTTTGTGGTTTTTTTTTTCCCCCCAAGGTCACCACAAGGTGTTTTGTCATCATTTCTAGTTGGTTTTGATTTCTTTGTCTACCTGGGTGAGTCTGGAGGTCAGTGGAACACCCAGGTCGTTCATGTTGTGCTAGCACAATAGCAGAACAACCAGGGCTTTCTAATTGCCTTTAGTTACTAAGGTTGGGAAAGACCAAAACCAAAGATGGGCTAAGAAGAATAAAACTTCAAACACTTGTCTAATGACATTTTGAAGCTGGAAAATGTAGCAGGCACCTCTTTTCTTATAAAGCTTAATTGCAACATACTGTATACCTGATCTAGAGTATTCTGTAACAAACAGCCTGCAGACTCTACTGATAGTATCAGTTCTACCCTTACCTGCTGTTCTGTTAATGAAATGTCAAATGTGAACCTTATCCATATTTAACCAGCTATTTTCAAAAGCAAATCTGCTGTCGAAGACGGTGTCTTACTTAATTGCTAAATAAGACAAATGAAGCTTATTTATTAAAAAAATACAGTCTAGTATTTTTTTCCCCATAGTAAGTAGCCCATGACAAAACAAATAAGGAATCTAATTAAAGATTCACATACTTGTCTATGATGTACTTGATGTTGTCGTGAACAGTACGGTCAGTCCTTCCTTTGTACGGCTGGATGTGAAAGGCTACCTGTAAAGAGATTCCTCAGTGAGAGCTTTGACATAACTGAGCTGGAGTCCCCAGAAGTCCTAACAGAATTCTTTTCTAACTTGCAACTTTTCTAAGACATATTTCTTCTAAAAAAAGAGTGTAATTCCTTTGAAAGTCTTTGCATTTGATTTTTTTTACCATACTTCATATTATGCTGTTTTTCTGTATGTGAATGCATCCTAAGTTAGGATTTCATTGGAGATCAGGCTTCTCTTTAAAAATAAATCATCTGCTTCATTTATAGGTAATCAAATCATAACGAGATCCCAGACGCTAGGGCCTATTTCCTAACGATTATATTGCAGTTGCAGTGAATTATGCCAAATATATATATATATATTATTTTAAATGTAGCAGATTGTATGGTAATAGCATTTTGGCTTCTTTTTAATTCCTGTGTTCCAACCATTGATTACACCAGCTGTTTAACTTAACATCTCAGCTCAAGAGCCTCTCTACAAGTTTCTCAATCAAGTGCTGGGGAAACGCCCATTTGTGTGAATTCATTCTCTTGGGTCTTCATTTTTCACCTATACAAATGTGACATTTAATAGTGGAATATCAATTCATAGCTTTGTGTCCTTAAAGTCCCAACAGAAATATGTTTTCTAAAATATTGATCCCAGACATTGCTACAAATTAAAGTTCTCTATAAAAGAAACATACAAATCACAACGACATGTACAAACAATACAATTTTTCAAATTTTCCACTCATTTTGCTCTTTGTCATTGAAGTTTTTGTTTAAAGGATAGCGCTATGTTCTACCAGATATTAAGAATTTGGTGTTAAAAGCAGAGTTTGTGTAGTGATTGCTGCCAAAAATTGATTGCAATTCTAAGAGGAAACATGAACTACTTCATGTGCTGTTACCTTTTGTCACTTACTGTACATATTTAGTCTTCAACATGCCTCTGTTGTGCTGCTAATATGAACCTAAATAATTCAGTTGCAGGCTTTTAACCTCTGTCTGGAAGCTTTGCCAAATTACCACATGACATTTTCAAGGTGTGTCATCTTTATCTGGGGGAAATCATATAGGCTCTTTAACCACATCATCAAGACATTGAAATAATACAAACTGAATAGTTTCAAAGCCATGAGATGGGTTTGGGTTAAAAAATATATTTTTTTAATCTTTTGTAGTTTGTCTTATTTTTTTAAATCCTTTTATCTTCTACATTTCTGCTTTTTAACTTAAAACATACACTATACTTTCCCTGTCATCTTTTCAGACATACAGAAATGAAGCCACTTTCTATACTGCAGTTTAATAATGCACGCCAGAAAAGGCAGCAACAACCTCTGTTTGATGGCAGGTTTTATTTTAGGGAAAATGCAGCAGACTCATTCATTGATTGTGTGTCAGAGTTTTGGTCTAATGCACATTAGCACAGCATTTGTCTGACGGCAACATCGGAGCAAGTCAAGTAAATGACCCTAAGAATTATTCAACCTTAAATTAAATATACTCTTCTCCCCCGAGGTAGAATCCTCCGGGCGCTGTTAACCAACAAGCATTAGCCTTCAAAAAGAGCCTGAAAGTACTCAAGTGGAATTCAAAAGAGCTGGACAGCAAGTGTGGGAATAAAACCATGTTTGCTTGCTTCCCTGCACAAGGAAACTGCTGTGGAAGAAATCTCAGTGACTGGCTCTGAAACACACTAATAATATAGGTCTGTGTTCAAAATGAAACCTTTTACCCAGTAGTTTGAAAGCCAGACTAATTTGTGGATTTTCTGCTCTTTGTATGCACTGCCTCAGACAAATTTATACCATCCCTGTATTGGGATATATTAAAGCGTACTAAACCAATTACTGTGAAAGATCATTGTTCTTAAACTTTCATTTGCCATGATAGAAAAATACTTGTACATCACTGTATTTGTTCTCCTCAAGATGTATTATTTTAATATAGAGTTGGATTTTTTTTAAATGCCATATGTAGAAAAATGTTATGATTCAGAATAAACTGGAAGACAGTTGAGTGCCCACTTCTTTGTTTCTGACAAAGTGACACTTTTTATTTTTGTAAAAACAGTCCAAATGCATTCAGAGAAGCAGGGGACCTGAACAATTGAAGTATGTTTTAAAGGGCTGAAGGCTTAAATCTGTGCACTGGAAAGATTCAGAAAGGCCCCTCAGGCTAATGCAATCATAGAAACATGCTGTTAATCGACCTGTTCATGCAGACCTTGAATGTTTCTGAATCTTTGCTCACACAACACACAAACAGATAATATATAATTAGAAGTGTGCCTGGAGACCACACTTAAAATATTGCTTAACGTAAAAAGTGGTTTGCCTATCCATGTTCAATTGAATAGTGTATTTCAAAATTAATGCAGTGGGGAATTCGAATCCCTGTTATGCCTTCCAAGCCAGAAGAAATGTGATTGTCTTTGGTGTAAACTACAGATGAGACAGGGTTAAAATCACACTTGGCTGAAAACAAAGACTGATTACAGGAAAGCTTGTAAAAGGTAGAAAATTGTGTACAAAGAACCTGTGCTTCACAAACAGTAACCGTAGCAACATGTTTTGTGCACGGCCTTGTCCTCGATTTCACAGCGTAGATGTGTAGTGGCTGAGGGAAATAAAAAATGGGGGGGAATCTGTTGTGCTTATTTAGTTTAGTTAAATAAGAGTTGGGATATATTTGTGGAATACACCAAGGCAATATATTTGCAGTGGTAAAAAAGGAGGAAACATTAGAAATTAGGTTTTTGCTGTGGCATCGATAAAATATGGTGACTGGGAAAATGTTAATTTATCTTAACTTCAAAAGGTCTGTTAGGAGTATAAAACAACTCGTGTGGCAGAGATTTGTGTTAAAAGATAAAAAAGATTGCACTGCTCTTTGAGTGTGTTTTGTTAGTGTAGGAAATGTTTCTAATTGTTTAAAAACGTCATATATTAGTAGTGCCTTTTTGGTTACTGACTTAACTGTTCTACAATCTTTTTTGAAGCAAGACTAAAAATAAGTGTAACTATATTAACCATGGTTGGGATTTAATACCATGAGAAAGGTCACAAAGGTGAAGAGGTCATCCTAGCTCATTTGGTTTGTTGAGTGATTTACTAAAACAATTGATTTAGTGTGAAAAACCTTTTAATTGGACATTCCAGAGCCATATTCATTTTCCAAGTTTCTTAATCATTTCAAGTGATAGCAGCTAACAAACTCAAAACAGTCCATATTTTGTACCACTGTTCGTTGTACATAACTATGTTTTAAATGGCACACAATTAGTGGATATCTAAAAGCGTACACATCATTGAATTAAAATTGTAAATATACAGTAAGGTTTGCTTTTCTTATTGTACTACAAACATTTTCAAACACTATAATCTAGTATTATACTGTGTTGTTTCAACATCTGTATCACATCTGTTTTAGTGTCCCATGAGTCAATAAATATTTACGAACAGCCACATGAAAAATTGAGCACTAATTTGAAATATATGCATGTTTTTTTCTTCATTTTTTCTACCTTTGAGCTGAAAGTTTTAATAATTCAGCTCTTTCATTTCTGTGTACTTAAAAATATAATTCTCTCTCCCAGAAATTAATATATAGTGAATTTAATGTGAATCTCACAGCAAATATTTCACAGGTAAAATCAACTCAAATTATGGGTCTTTCTTTTTATGACTAAAATAATTTTTGATTTTGCTGAAGGTTATTGCTTGCCTTCAAAAACAAAAGCCACCGCAGCAAAAAATATTCATAATACACTAACTTCATCTAGAATCTTTCCATTCTGTCTACAACTTAAAGTTTGATAGATAAGAAACTTGTTTCACACTGCTCAGAACCCATATGTACTATACTAACATAAGCAGTAGAGACACACCTGAAAAACTTAGCCATGTCAAAATGTATGCAAAGCCGACTTCATCCAACACAGATGGTGCAGAATTACTGCTCATCTCATAAAAGAAGTGAAAAATTAGGCCCTTTCCTGGGATCCTTCAGGAGATGTCAGAACATGGGCTTTGGATCAATATGCTGAGGTCTCAATTGCAACTTTCCTTTTATTCCAAAGATGCTGTTGCAGTGCAGACTGAGCTCTGAGACCAGTGCTGTCCACTTAAGATGAGGACAATGCCAGGACTGCCCAAGCTGTTATGGACTGTTGGCTAAGCACTGAGCAGGGTGGCTGGGCATCAACTCATTCAGGGTGCTTGTGGATTTTCACACAGCTCCCAGAAGCCTGTGATATCCCAGCCTTAAAAATAGGTTAGGTTTGAAGAGTGGCACTACAAGAGGAAGGAGAAAGATGTGCTCATCCCTTCCATGTTGACTGGAGGGTTGAAGCTGTTTTGACAGTGGGGAAAGTAGGGTGCAGAGATGGCTTAATTTCACACGGCTCGTCAAACTGCCTCTCAATTTAACTATTAAAGTGATGGTGGCTCTTCAGCATTGCACAGAGATGAAGTGGGTGACTTGCAGTTGGAAAAAGCCTTGGTTTAGATTGGAAGGTACAGAGAATGGAAAACCAACATTAGAAATATGTAAAAGCAGAAACTGGCACAATTAACCAGGAGCACAGTCATGCTCGCCCCCTCTCTAGTGTCTAACTTGCCCTACTTACTAGCTTAAGTATAAGCCTGTAGGGGCCTCATTGTTAGGGGACATAGGCAGTATTTAGGCACCACGCTTGCTGATAAGAGGCCAAAGCAGATCAGAAAAAACTGGCTGTCTGTGAAACAATTGCAGATCTTGGCACTCCTGTCTTTTTGGGGGATTTTGCTGTACATTAAGACAGAAGTAACTTCTGCCAGAATATTCTTTAACACAGTAGCCATGTCCAGTCCTGTAAGTGTTTCTATGTTTCTTAAAAAAGTTTTGGGAAGCAAGGAACCAAGCAGTCAGTTCATTTCAGAATCTGGAAAGCTCAGATAAGGTGAAAACCAGAAATCCCAGGTGCATATGAGCACCAGTCAGTTAGAAATGACTCTTGCTGCTTAATTAGGCTCATGACAGCCATCCAAAGACCCTAGAATTTATTCATTCATTGACTGTTATTCTTCCCGGGTATTTAACAAGTGCAGTGTTAAAGGGAACTAGTACAATCTATTGGAATTTGCATTGCAAAAGTTATCATTAGAATATCTTCTCAGAAACCTGAACGCACGTTCTCAGTTACTCTTCAGTTCTGATGTCTTTGATGATGATGGTTGCCAAGACTTGAAAAGGGAATTGCAGGGTCTGAACACAGGATGAAAAATGCGCTGGATTCCAGGAGAGCAACAGCAGAACAAGGCACTGTGTCTTCCTGCTAATATCCCTGCCCCTTCATAATGACTCCTTAGTGATATATAAATTAAGGACTGCATTTTAATTTGCCACCTCTCTAAGTGAGAGAGCTGAAGAGCTACTGAATTCAGCGGGATCATGTTTGCAATTTGAGATGAAAAGCGGACAATAACAACGGACTGTTTACACCATAGTCCATGGAAGAATAATAAACACTTACTCATGGACAATACAAAAACATGCCTGTTCTCCCTCAGGGTGTTTCTTTGCATACTGAAACAGGACTAAAGGGCACTATAATACACACAGTGTAGATGAATTGAAATTATTACAGTATTTAGCTATGACAAGATCATTATTTCTAGAAAATATGAATAATTTAATTCTAGAATACAATAATGTATAGAATTGAGAATCATGAAATTCACATACACTGTTAGTCGTCTTGTTACACAGCCTCAAATGAAAACCTAACTGCTTTTTTAAAATTATATTCCTAAAATATACCCCTATAAATGTTGTCCTTTTTCTCTAGGGAGTGATATTTTAATATAAATTGCATAACAATTAATAACATGGGTGGAATCCAAAGTACCAGCTCAGCTGCACTGCAACTGTATCAGTCCTGCTGGTGCTTTAGAGTTAAAAATACAGATGTAATGTTTGCCTTCAGTATTGTTCTAGTTTTATAATGACATGCCTGTGTTGTTTCTTTTTTTAGTCGCATGTCTCCCAAGCAGTTATGCAATTACTTTGTCAAAGATGTGACATCTCTTGACAGATAACAGGTTCCTTGTATACACCTGTCTGTCTTTCTTTCAGAAATAAAGTCTGACTGTTACAGCTGGACAGACAGGGCATCTGTGTTTTGAAAATATTCAGTTCAGTCATTGGCTGCAGAATCTAACAACAGATTAAGTTCAGAGAAAGGAAAAAGCAGCACATGATTGGTAGTTTTCTGTTACTAGTTGTGGTGCACTTGTCTTAACAAACTGCTTGTCTCAATAGTGCACATGTGTTTCTACATTAGAACCCCATGCTTTTCACCTTTTAGCCTTTATTTTGGGTGATAAATACATTTTCAAATGGGGCTCTTTGACATTTCCTTCTGTTTAACAGATGTTTTCAATTCACACTGAGCTCCCAGGATTTGGACATTAAGGTGATTTCCAAAAGTTGGTGGTTGTTGGTGGATTTGTCATTAGAATTTGAATTTTAAATGCATTTTGGTATTTGTTACCTTATTTCCTAAAATGTTACATGGAATCAGATGATTAATTATTTCTATCCCCCATGGAGAGAGAAGGAAAAGTAAAGAACTCTGTAATTAAAGTAATAACCAAACCTGCACTACAAAGATTTTTCTTTCTCTTTCTCTTTCTCTTACTTTGAGCTCATATTATAGCACTATTAATTACCATTTCCTGTCCAGCTGAATGCTTCCTAATGCCAAAATCACAATTAGATGTTCTTAATTTGTATCAAGTCTGATGTCGAGTGCCTTACTCTGTCTTCGAGATAATTTACATACTTTACGTCTCTGTTGTTCAAGACTGAAGCTCTGAAGCTGATCCTTGAAAACCCATTTGAAACTCACTTTGAAATCCTTAAAGACTGTAATATGTCTTTCAATGGTTGTCCGGCATTAAGGGAATCACTGCAATGTGAGTTGCAGTTTGAATGAAAGGTTTCAAGTGCATTGTACAAAGGTTTTCAAGGGTATGTTTATATACCTTCCAGTCTGCTAAATATATCTTCTATAAACTGCAGATTACATTGTCCCAGTACATTGTACAGCCCTTTCTTTCAGGTTCATCTGTACAATATGAACTCAGTATATGCTTTGTTGTCATTTGGAACCCTATGTCCTTGGACTGAACTGAAATTGATGCATTTTAAATGGTATGGCAGAAATTCCAGTATGGACTGGAATAATGATTCAGCCCTGAGAGGTATGTGCAAAAAGCAGGACATTTTTGCACCATCTGCAATTATAAACCTCACTGATTAGTTTTGTTTGCTTTTGTTAGATTGGTGTTTGAAAGTACATAGCACATTATACAAGTATTGTACTTTCTCAGATGTTATTTCAGGAATTATGTTATTTAATACCAATTATGGCCATGCACTCCTGGTGCACCTATAGGTTACTGTGATATATAAAGAATAACACTCCCATTTAGAGATGGACATTTAACTGAATGATAGGAAAAGGTTTCAGTGTCTTAGAGTAAATTGGAAACAAGGACTTTAAGTAGTGTTCCTTTGTTTCAGGGATTTCAATTAATTACCAATTGATTTTTTGTCAGCAAGCTGTGTTGCTTAGTCTAAGCAATGATGTCTTTTTGTAGAAATATGCCAAGAGTCACCACATTAACTACAACACTCCAGCTACCACTGCATGTTTTGTTTCCACTAAGAATAATACATCTTCGTGTGTAATGCGATTAAAAAAAAAACGACTGTCTGTTTTGATCAATAAGCATGCAATTGGTACAGTTAGGCCAGGGGCTGCATTCTGCTACAGTCACAACTCCCAGCCTCCTTTTACTAGCCCCACAGGTCTGGTGTGTCCTTCCCTCACTCGACTGACAGTCCGCTCAAGCATGCTCTCATTCCCTTTATTTACCTTGATTCTGTGCCTGTGTGCAGCGTCCATTACAGCTGGCACCAGGTCTTCAGCTGCTTCTCCATTGTCATCAGCCAAGCCCGGTGGATACCAAGACAAAACCAGCACCCCTAAACGAACACGAGAGAAGCACGTTATGCCTTATGCAAACTGTAGATCTTAGCAGCTGTTCCAGAGTGAAAAAGGGGACCATGTTAAGGATCGTTACACATTCTTCATTTCCTGACTTGGAATGGAGGAATTGCAGCTTGTTAAAGGGAAGTTTGAGCTGTGGTTCTGCACCGAGAATAAATGACTTCCAGTTCAGTCAACTTTAAGACAACTCGAAAATTCCTAAACCAGTTTTACTGGATAAAACTCTGGGAGTGGGGAAAAAGCTTTCAATTGAGCAGGGAGGTTGCTCACTTACTGTAGCTGTACAACAAGGCTTAAACCAAAAAAAAGTGTGGAATAATACCAACTTGCAATTGCAGTATGCAAGCTCAGGGACACACAATGACTTTCAAAATCTACCAAAAATCTTCATAGAAATAAATCACTGCAAGTATGAATAAGGTGAATCTTGTTCTTGTGTTAGAAGGTGGAGAATCTCCCTTTTCTTGGGCTTTACACCAGAAGTTATTTAAGAATGGAATTATCTTTCCTAAATTATTGGATATGTATTTGGAAAGTGTTTTAGAGCACCTTTATTGATGCGGTTGCTTTCAATACGTACGCGTTTTTAGGTTTACTTTCTTCAAATCACTCCTCATCTACCATCTGTCGAGACAGGAGTGCAGATCACTCAGCTGTGATCCTGCGGAAATCCATGACTTCACACATGGACAGATAATAAAAGAGTTGTGGCCAAAAACTGCTATTAAGTAAACTGCTTAAGTAAACCTTCTGTTTCCAGCACAAAATTCACTTTAAATTTAAGAGGACCTCCAGCGCTTTGTTAACAATATGGTATGTATCACTGGGCAAACTACTACAGCTCTTTCAATATAAGGGATGACATCTGAAAGATTACCAAGCACAGTGCTAACTCATCCAAACAAGGCCTTTGATATGAGTTCAGTTTACTTATACATCTTTCTGTCCTAAAAGCTAAACTTGGCTAGGCTGTAAAAAAGAAATGCTTTTCAAATAAACTAATCATGATTGCAATGTATAAGAACCTAGAATTTAGATCTCTTGACCAGGTACAAAGGTTAAATCGACACTAGCTTTGTAACACTAAGAAAAAGCGTCGTACTAAGGCACTTATTGTGTTTTTAAGCACTAGTTACGAATCGTACCCGTATTTTAACGAGACACCCAGTTAATAGGTCGGTCTGTAACTCATACACGCATACAGCACGGATTTGGCATTGTAGTGTTTCAGCTGAAATGTGGCGCAGAACACGTCTGGAACACGGAGCTGTCCATCAGCACAGTGCTGAAAGTTCACCGGTAGTAACGCAGAATAAAATTTATACGCCGAAAGGAATTAAAATCAAATTGATTTGTGCACTTTCCTACACCATTTAGTATAAATATATTAAATGCAAGCACAGAAAATGCAGTAAAATAAAACATATATTTTTGTTAACCTACAAAACCCTTGTGACCCTAATTGTTAAACCTTTGCAGTACGGAAACTAGAACGGAAACTCTAGTAGAGTTTCTTTTACTAGGATGTTAAAGATTTTTTTCTTCTGTCCATTACCCATTAATGCCACTTGTAAGTCCACGGATTTATTATGTCTTAGGGCGTGATTAAAAAACATCTCCGTGGGCAGATCCTTCTGGCTTGGTTTCTTCAAACCGCTTTCTCTCAGTTTGACTCCTCTGCCCAGTCTCATAGCGCTCCTGTTACTTTAAGCACGCTTTTAACAGTCGGATCTAAACGGCGATCGATGAGTAACCGAATCGATGACACAGAGGTGAAAAGATTGCAACCGGCAAAACGTGTAAAGACTCTTCGGGGTCAAATAATGAACATAATCGATTTTACAGTTTTGTTGACATTCAGTCCTAGAATCTTATTCATCTTCTTCTCGTTTGGGGTACATTTCTACGATATTTAGTCAAACAAACATAAGCGTCTAGTTAAATCGCCATAGATCCATCCTCATACTTCACCTGCTCCTGATGCCTTAAGCTGTTCCATATGCGATTCCAGAAGAACTGGATCCCTGGAACTGTAGGGTCCCAATTCCGGGTAGAAACTGGAGCCGATGTCTTCAGGGGGCGTGTGTCTTCCCTTCGGATAGCTGGCAGCAACTTTAGGGTCCCAGTGGGGCACTAGCACGTGGTCCCAGTGCAGATATTTTCCGTCTACTTTTGGATTTCCATACCACACGTAATAGAAGATATGGACATCGTAGAATATGCCTTTATCTGGGCTGGAATTCCACAAGGCGGTTTTAGCATTGCCCACCGCTCGTGGCTGAGCTGGAGAGGCGACCACTTCGTTGGAGATCGACCGCCGGTCCGCTCTGTCGCCAGCAACGGGCATTAACTCCAGTCCCGGGGCTAAGTCGGAGAACCCATCGCTAGGCTTCAGTGTCCTCAAGCCCATCATGGTACCGAAAATGAACAGCGTGAACAAGAAAAGAGCCACGCACGCTTTCTTGCGCAACCTGGCCATTCTCGGTCTCGGGAATCCGAGCGATCCGCTCTCTACAGCCCTTTTATCGCATTGGAGTACGTGCGAGCACTCCTTCTCTCTGGAAACGCAATAGCATAACTCGGAAGGTCACTATTAAGTGGCCTTAATATCTCAATTCTTGTCACCCTTGTTTATAAAGCAGCTGGGACAACCAAATTATCGCGCAACCTCCATCAAAAGATCTGGGAAAAAGTCGAGCGCAAAACTCAAGGAGAACGTGGATGGCGTCTATAAATATTATCTGCGGTAGTTTATGTAACGCACAGCATCAGTAGCGTTCGCGCTCGATAGAGGCATAACTTCCCTCCCAAAATCGACAATATTCATTGTGTCATTCTGTGACATGCACTGCAGTTATCGTTAGCGCCCAAAGCTGAAATGAAAACTCCAGGACTTTTCATGATGAAGTTACCGAACTTGGCACAGAAAGTAAAGGAGATCAACGGTGTACTGCTGCCCACCAACACAACAAACGTGAGATCCTCAGCCACACTCTGACAGTATACCAGTTAATCCAAAATACAACAGCTTACAATATGACCTAACGGTGTTTGTTTTCCTTCTTTCTTTTCCACACGCAAAAGCGACGTTTTCGGTGTGTCTGGCATCTACAGCTTACACTCTATATCTTTACACGTAACTTAAATGTACTCTTATTGTAAAACTGTACTTTAAAAATCAATGGTAATAAAGTGACGAAATCACGCCACTTCATTATCTTGTTTCTGTACCTATCCATGGGTACATGTTTCATGAACCCCAATTAAATTAGCCTTCCATTCGTGAAGCGCCAGCCGCCGTCTAGCCACCTTAAAAAACGTTAATTGGGAGGAAAAAAAAAGTCTCTGTGCTATTTAGCTATGAATAAAATTAAAAAAAAAAAACTTTCAAGCCGAGAGCACTAGAATGTGTTCGGTGCTGATTTAAGAGTCGGGCAGCGGCCGTTGGTCGTCCAACGGTGCCACTCCGAAAGCCAACGCTGTCATCCACCTGCGTTTCCAGCGGTGTTCGGGGAAGCCAGCCGGTGCTCGGTGCTCGGTGCTCAGTCCTGCCCTCTCCGCCTCGGCTCCGCGCAAACCTCCGGCACCGACTGCGCTTGTCATTCCATCCGGATCCGGGGTGTTCCTTACATGCCTCCAGTTAAGAGCGTTTTGATGTCTGCGGGGATAATGTCGGCGCTGGCGAGGAGCTTGGCATTCGGACCAGCTTGTGTCTTGATGTCCATTTTCTCCACCAGGAAGGAGGGGCCTTTTCTTGCTCGCCGGTTTAGTGTGTGATGCAGCGGAGAGCGAGGGGGGAAGGAGGGGGTGGGTGGAGATACTGCTTTTTTCAAAGCGCTGTCACGGAGGATAGAAGTGTCATTAATACATTCGATATTTGCCTTTTAATTATAGCTCGTTGAGTATGTTTACTTGTGAAGCTCGAATACCTGTTTTATTCAATTAAAGAGTATTTTTTGTGCCTATAGAAACATTACCAAGCTGCCCACCTTTGTTGTTCTGTCCTCCTCTCCTATGGAATTTCCTCTCTACCTTTTTGTACATATTTGATGTTCACATAAATGTATTTTTACACCACCATGTCCACCCCCTCCCCCGTGAAAAAATAATCCTCTAAACCAGCCTGCCAGTTTGGCTTGGGTAATTTCCCTCGATGATCTATTTCTAGCTGTTTAGGCATCGCATACTAACATGACTGTGGTCACATGCCAAGTAACACGTAAGATTAATAAAAGTACCGTTTTGCCAGTGCTCATACTGTAAATATAGACCGGGGTCATTTTAAAGGCTGGTCTTAATTAAGTGTATAAATCAAATTAATATAATACATTATTTTTTGTATGTATACCATTGAAAATAAATTAAAACCTCTTGCAGAAAGCATATCTGCAGTCACGTTGTCACTGAGGAATTAGTACACAGATGGAGCACAATTAATGGAGCTTAAGTGCACAAGCTGTATACGTCTGTCATTCAATGTTGGATGATCTCCCATTGCATTCCCACAAAAAAGACATGGAGTAGGATTTTCCTCACATTATCATGTGCTAGAGAGTCCCTAGTAAACACTTAGGGAAATATCTATCAGATTATTTTTCAATATCTACATCAGAGCTTAACAATGACTTAAGATTTGTGCACTGCAGCACTGTCAGTATCACTGTTCAAGGATGTCTGTCCCTGTGGATTTATAAAAAGAGAGAGACTTGTATATTATTGTATAGGTATTGTATTTAGAACTCAAAAACCTTCACCGTTTTTGCAGCTTAAAAATGTCTGGATAACTCGCAAAAGCAACTTAATGTTAATGAATTATTTTTATTTAACATTTGATATGATGGATTTAACGGTTTCAAGTGTGCTTCAAACACAGCAAACTAATTTGCCGTTGAAATGATTACAGTCCTAATCAAGGTACATGTGTCATCAGTGTGATAGCATATTAAACGTTTAGTGTTGCATTTACAAAGGTAGTTCTACTCTTTTATCCCTGCAACTGTTATAATATCTCAAAAGGCACAGAGCTAATTGTTTTGAGGAGAATTCCCTTGACACTAGCTACTGCAAATGAGACGTGGGTGATGCAGATTAAGAAGGATATCTTAATGGCTGTCTACAAAGAAACAGCTTTAAAGAAGAGATTATGTTTCCCAGGGGAAATTATAGACATAGTTACCATATATGCAGATTCCCTTTTTAGTTGTAAACTACAATTAAGTACCAATTGATCGCTGGGGCAATTAAAAAGTTCATCATAAGTAAGACGGCTCAAGTCAACAGTAAGCACTGGCTTTAGAAATAGTTTAGTGCTTTGTCTACATCGATTGAAATGTGCCTCCTGTGCAGTACTTTCATGTCACCCAAGGAGGAGGCTTGGGAATTCAGCTGCATGATGACACAGGACTGCACAAAAACTGATTTGAAGATTAAAATTGACTACTTACACAGAAAAAATGTTATTCTCATGCTCACATTAGATTTTAGTCAATATATTTTGAAATATCTTCCAAAGAGACGTTACATTTATGGAATTCTGGGAACTCCAAAGCCGAGGAGATTTTTACCATTGGCTCTATGACTGTGGTGAAGTGTTGACACATCATAGGAAACAGGTGTCAGGAAGCTACTCAGCCTGTCTCTCTCCTCCACTAGTTAGCAGCTTAATGATTCAGGAACCCCCATTAAAAGACTTTCACAGTGCTCCCTGTGACTCAACGTTCACGACATGACTTGTTGGTCCACTCCACACTCCCACAATTCCCCGTGTAAAAAAAAACATTCCTCTTATTCTCTCTCCCGTATCTAGCTACCCATTATTCCTGCCGACTTGTCCTGATCTCTGTGACAAATTTTTAACATTGTCTCCATGTACTGTGGCCAATTGCTTCGAGAATGTTGAGTATCTCAGTCACATTTTCCTGAATTTCATGGAGGGTGCGTTCAAAATAACATGGTGCAGACAGCAACCAGGATTAGTTTTACAAACCAAGGAGGTGCAGTGACAAATTAGTTTAGTATGCATTTCTGGAAGGAACACCCATGCATATCTTTACTCAGCCATCCATTAAAAATTTAGGAAGCTTGAGTTTCAAAGGCAAAGCTTCACAGGTGTAACTTTCTTCTTTTCCAGGACAGGAATCCGATCCTCCAGAGATGTACAGTAAGTTAATCTTCAGGAATGTATGAATATGAGAGTTGTGATGTTTTACTTAATTTAAGGTTCAAATGTCTTCAGAAGTCCATACTAAGAGAGATTATTTTTTTATGTACTGTATGTGAATGTCATTACACAAACAAATCAAATCAAAGTTTATTATCAAATGCACAACAATACGGCATGCAGCAGTATTTGCTGGCAATGAAATGTCTTTCATTCCCAGCAACAAAAGACAATTTGGTCAATTATACCTCTACAAGTAATGTAACGATACAGTTGCAAATAAAAAAAAGTACATGCTTCAGAGTTAGGAATTGTTCAGCAATAACACAGTATGTTTGAATAAATAAGGAAGATTAAACATCAACTGTACAAAAAATACATTTCTCATATTTTTCTTTTTTATCATTGATATTTCGACCATGAAAAGGAAGAAGAAAATACCTTGACCTTTCAATGAGCCAGGTTATATAGGTTTAGACAGGTGAAGTGAGACCTGCAAAAATAAATGCATTCGATGAACATTTCCACTTTCTGCTAACTACTGTCCACAGTACTATCTGCTTCAGGAGAGGAATACTGTCGTTCAACAAATTCTATTCACAATACATGAAGACTTTTTCCTTGATCTAATCAATCCCCATAAAGAGTCCCTTGCTCCTATCCAGCAGCATATCATATGATATAAGTGAAGGAAATCATACACAAATGTATCTGTCCAGGAGGTTGAGAGTGATACCTCAAAACATCAGCATGAAATGGCTGCTTTCCAGATCACTGAGGAGTCTACAGAATGTGAGTGTGGGTATGTATTCATTCATTTTTCTTCTTAACTTCTTGTGTCATAGTGTAATGACATTATCACCAATAATGATAATAATAATAATAATAATGTGCAGTGATCGTTGCTCTGTTTTACATTTTTCAGTACGACAAGGACAGTTCTTTTTCCCAATATATGAACTTTTTAAAAGGACATTAAACAAAACACCAACCTGAGCAAAGTATACAGTATGCACACATACTCACACAAACATCTCAGGCTTCTTGCCACAGTGAAAGGGAACATAGGACATAGGATATATATGATGTTGACAATTTTCTATTTGTTTCCTCATGACTTAAGAATGTAAGGATAGTCAATTCATGTGATAAAAGGTACTGTAAGTTGGCCTATTTAGACTCATTCAGTGAAGCTCTTAGATTGTATTTCCCTTGAAGGGCACCGCGGAAGATTGTAGCACAATGCTTCCCAATAGCTATGAGAAAAGGCTGTGAAATGCAGTCATTTAAACAAATTCCACCATATTGTTTAAAGTAATGGATTTAAATAAGACATCTACTGTAGCCTCCTTCATTCATATGACTTACTGGGAATGAAGCTGTTCAGAATGTATGTTTATATTCATTTCTATTTTCCAAAACGTGGCACTGTAAGAGCTTTTGTCTCAGCATTATCATGCAGAAAAAATCAGAATAACAACCTATAAAATACTGAAGTTGTTTGCCAGCTCTGCCTGTGTATTTCAATTGCTTTGGTAGTGTTTAATGTGGTGTTTGCCTTGTATACAGCCTGCACACTAAATTAAACATATCTGATGCCTGTGTAGCAATGTAGCAATATTGTTTTTTTCAGTGGGGTGTATTGTTATTCACATGGAGGTCTTTAAATAATTAAAACGTAATCCCTGTTACCATTTTTGTCCTCCATATCCTAAAGATCTGTGAAGAACTATGCTTGGTTGAGCTGTCAGAATGGATTAAGTTAGCAAAATCATGGTGCTCTTTCAATGGGATCAGATTATTACTTTTTCACAAGACTTTGCTAGTAGTAATGTAGCATAATCCTTCTTTTCACAAAAGCAGTAACAGTTGTTTCAGCAGCGCTAAATGAGTAAATGACAGATGAGGATTTTCTTTAACTGTTTGCAGATATACTCAGAGATTAAATTAAATATATATACATATACATATTTATATAAAATATAAATGTATTACCTGCAGTGTTGCACAGTTTCAAAATGAAGCTACTGCATATGAGTGTCCATTAGTTCAACAGCATAGTTAATCATACAAATTCTTTTTTCATAGTTGTATAGCAAAGACTTCAAATTAAGATTTAAAATGAGTTTGATTTTGTATTATTTGAATTTTGAATTTAAACAAACACAATCTTGCAGAGTGTCGACATACCTTTGGAGTTTTGTTGAAGAAAGCCTGAATTTGATGCACTAGAGTGTGGTGGGTAACATCCTGTCAGAAAACAAGACTCTTCTGGAGCTACAGATACTGTTCTGCTTCTTATTCTTATTCAGAAACCCAGTGATTTGGGTTTTTGTATTCCCCACCAAAAGACATTTGTGTATCATTCTCCAAATTAAAGGCGTCTGTTGCCAAAATTATTAATTTCAAGAAATAGTCAAAGCTATTTAAAAAGGAAAATGCCAAATATTTAAAATTCCAAGACTCGCAATTGTACAACAATCCTACATAATATGGATTTCAGTCCATAACTAAAATATTTATTTTACTTGAAAATATTGACAGTAGTGTAATTTATTGACATCTTTTAGTTAATCAAGTTAATATGAAGTGGTATGTTCATCCATCCATTTTCAGAAAACATTTATTCCTGAGAAGGCTCTGACAATGCAG